AGCAACAACAACAACAACAAGTACTACTACTACTACTACTACTACTACTACTACTACTACTGCTCTTACTGTTACTACTACTACGACTACGACGACGACTGCTGTTACTTCTACTACTACTACTACTACTACTACTACTACTACTACTGCTACCATTACCTACTCCTTCTCCTGCTCGTGCCCCTGCTCCTGCCCCTGCATCTGCACCTGCACCTGCTCCTGCTCCTGCTGCTACTCCTGCTCCTGCTCCTGCTCCTGCAGCTACTCCTACTCCTGCTCGTGCTCCTGCTCCTGCTCCTGCTGCTGCTGCTTCTCCTGCTCCTGCTCCTGCTCCTGCTCCTGCTTGTGCTACCGCTACTGCTACTACTACCACTACCACTATCATTATCACTTCTACTACGACGACGACTACAACGACGACTACTACTACGACTACTACGACTACAACGACTACAACGACTACAACGACTACAACGACTACAACGACGACTACTACTACGACGACTACTACTACGACTACCACGGCGACGACGACGACGACTACTACTACTACTACGGCGACGGAGACTGCTACTAGAAGTTTCTTTTGGCCACGGTCCGATGCTGGCTTCTGGTGCCGCTGCAGTGCGCCAGCAGCAGGGTTGACTTCAGCGTGGTTCAAACAGCTGCCCCACCTTCGCTTTGCCCAACGAGCCTTCAATAAGGTTTTCTCTATTATTTGGCTGATACATACTGCTCGATAAAGCGTGCATCAAACTCAATCAGCAAGAGCGGACATGCGAAACGGCTACATGCATCTGTCGGCAACCTAAATCGTTCCTGCCGTCTTTTACGTCTGGGTGCCAAGGCCAAGCCGGCTGAGGAGGCCAGGGTTCAAGCGTCGGACGACGAAGTTGATAGCAGGTTTGTGCTCGATGCCAACGCCCCCAATGCGCAGGGCATCAAACAAGCTGTCGAAGGACCGAAGCTTCCAGCTCGCAACAAGTTGTCGTTCAATCAGATGGCAAACAATTATGGCAAGGGCTTTTCGATGCTGCAGAAGATGGGCTTCACTGGCGGCGGGCTGGGCAGGCACAATGATGGCATTGCAAATCCGATCGAAGTCCAGAAACGCCAGGGGAAGATGGGTCTGCAGGATGACGGGGAGATGGTGGATCAAGACCTCTATGGCAACGAAGGTGAAGCCGGCCGTCGGTCCTTGGAGGAACTCCTCGGAACCGGAACCACCCAGCCGAAGACAAAGCGTGAGCGCGAGTCGGTCAGCGACGGATGGAAACGGGACGGCAAGGACGGCAAGCCAAAGAAGCCAAAAACCGTTTACAAGACGGCCGATGAAGTGATCAGCGAACCTGCTATGCGCATTGTGGACATGCGCGGCCCGGAGGTCAAAGTGGCTTCTTCCTTTGCAGAGCTCGCCGCAAGTCTTTCCGGGGATTCTGTGAAGAGTTTGAAAGAGCTTAGACACAATGCCCGCTTGTTGGTCTCTAGATACGAGGACAAAGTCAGGGCAGGAATGGAGCGGAAGCGCCACTGTGAAAGCGTTCTTTTATCTGTGGCAAAGGAGAAAGATAGGGTTCAGGCGGCTGAAAAGATCAATGAGACAGAACTCGCAGGTTGCAAGAAGCTTGTCACGGAGATTGAGTCCTTGAGAGAGAGGCAAGACCAAGGGACCCTGAGCTTGCACGAGCTTGCAGATGCATTCAATCACTTGCGAAGTGAGAAGCCGAAAGAGTTTCGCGTTCTTGAAGCAGCGGACGTTGCATTTGCTCTCGCACTTCCGACGGCACGTCGCGAGTTTGCCACCTGGCAGCCCTTGAAACAGCCGGTCTCAGATCGAATGGAACGATTGAAAGCTATTGCCAAATGGCAAGATATGACAAGTGAGAAGACCCAAGAGCGCTTCACAGCATTGATCGAAGCGTCCCTCCTTCCGTGTCTGCGAAAGGCATTGGTAGCATGGTCGCCAAGAGAACCAGAGCGCTGCATCCGATTGATGGAGAGCTGCCGGGCAGTGCTGCAGTCAGATTGTGCAGATTCCCTGATTGCAGAAGTCGTGCTCCCAAGGCTTCGCTCTGAAATTGAGGGTTGGGACCCGAGGCTGGACACGGTATCACCACATCTTTGGCTGCATCCATGGCTACCGCTTCTGGGTAGCCAAATGGATATTCTGTGGCCACCGATCCGGTTTAAGATATCCTCCTGTCTAGACCGTTGGGATTGCTCCGACTCGTCGGCGCACGGGTTCCTGCAGCCATGGCGGCGTGTCTTTGATCCGTCCAACTGGGATCCGCTTATTGAAAAGGTTCTGTCCAAAATTGAAAAAGCTATTGCAGAGACTCCTGTGCAGCCCGACGGCCAGAACCTACAGGCGTTGCGGACCCTTTTTTCATGGATGGATCTTGCTCCGTTGGATAGTGTTTCACGAGTTCTGGAGTCAGCCTTCTTTCCGCAGTGGCATGCTGCTCTCCGCCGCTGGCTTCGTGATGCTCAGTGCGATTTTTCGGAGGTGCTACAGTGGTACCAAGGGTGGAAGGCATTGCTCCCCAAAGAATTACTTGAGCAAGCCCGCGTCCAGAAGCACTTTGCGAGTGGACTGGAGGCTCGAGCAAACTCGAGTGAATGACCTGAAGATTGAATGCTGAAGCCTTAGGCTGAAGCTCTTTTGCCCTGGTCTTGTCTTGTCAGGTGATGAAGCACACGATGACTCATGGAACCTCGGACTTGCCCGAATCTCCGGAGAGAGGCGAAAAGAACAATCAACCATCTGCGCGCCTACCTGCGGACGAAATCAGCCTCAGTTTGAGCGACTACATGTCCCAAGTTGCAGCTGAAGAAGGGCTGATCTTCCTTCCGAAGCAGCTTGTCCATAATATGTAGACCGGAGCCGATTTATGTAGTCCTGCTGGTCGCTGTGATCAACTGAGGAAGCAGCAGCGTAACGGAAAGCAAGTTTATCAACTCGGAACAGCCACCATTCAGCTGGACAAGAACTTGGTCTATGTTGCGCCGACATCCGGCGAAGGGGAGTGGAAGGCCTTCCGGCCTCCGCTGACTGATCAGTCACTGACCAGTTTGGTTGGGTTTCCGGTTGAGTATTGAGCCCAGAGGCCCTGGTTTCTTCCACCTACAATGACTGCATCTCCATGGCACATCAAACCAGATGTTAAATAGCAGTTTCGTTTGCCGGATCCTGCCACGATTCTGCAGCCTGGGTGAAACAATTATGTCGTCAGCCGGTGATGGTCTGATTCTGTTTGGTACGTAATCAGCTATGCTTACCTATGCTCTACGCTTGTTTTTACGCAAGATTCGAAACAGAAACAATCCGTCGCAGATCCGCTCTGCCGCGGAGCATTGCCCAGCATTCAGCATGTGCTGCAGGCCGCGTCCATGGATGAAGTTCTCGCACTTGCGCGGGCGACATCTCGCAGAAAGAAATAAGCGGCAGCTCATACTTGTGATGATGAGACCGTCGTTCGAAACTCGGAAGAAGGAGGTGTCTCACCTCTGACTTTCAGTGCATGCCGCTAGGCCATGCAAGGCTCCAAGACAGACTACGAGCTGGCACGAGGAAAATCTATTTCGTGACATGTTGTGGGTTCTTGTGGTGCAGAGGCAGAAAGACCGTTGTGTCTGATGAAAGAAAAGCCGTGGTCATCCTGGTTCATCCGATCGCAGCTGTGAAGTCACCTGTCGTAGTTGGGTTCCGCTGTCATTACGCTGAACTTGGAGGCGTTGTTTGCATCTGGTCTGCGCTTTATTTGCTCCCTTTTTGTGCTCGGCATGTCGCTATGCAGCAGGTGTGATGCGGCAGCAGGCACCAAGCAAAGATGAAGGGTGCCTGGGATCCCGTTCAGCCCAAAGTTGTACACTCCGAGGCATCACCGTGCCATGCCAAATGCAGAAAGGCCAGTTTCTGCATCGCGTTCATATATCTTCACCACATGCTGCTGTGACCCGTACTTCCAGCAGACCCTATGTCCAGACGAATCACATATCTTGTGAGAAAGATGTGCATCTCGCCTGCGCCAATGGGAGAGGCAGTGAAGACAATGGGCATGATCTATGCAAGCGCTGTGCTCGTCTTCCTCTGTGTGGGCGGCGTGCAGGTTCCTTGCCATGTCACACATTTCTTTAAGCCTACCTGTCGCGGTCGCTGTGCGGCTGGGGAGGCGTGGCTTGGGCCTGGGCCGAGTTTCAGGCTGGGCTAGTCGAACACTTCGATGCTTGTGATGTATGGCAGTGTCGACCTTTCAAGCAAGTTGCTTCTCGATGTTGGTGCTTTACTAACAGCTCGGGTTCTGGAGGCCGCATGGGCTGCAACGCAAGGCAGCGGACGGAGGATTGTGCATCCTTCGCTGCAAGTTTTGGGTCGCTGTTTGCGTCTTCACGTTGCTACAGGATACCCAGACATACCAGAGGCATGGTCTTGCTGCCAGTCTTCTGTCGTGCACAAGACAACTCGACAGGATGTCAGGGGGCCTGACGGCATTCAGAGTGGTATGCGGTCCAAGCTGATTGAAGAGGTGCCCATGGCACATCATCCTCTGACTTGATGTCATAAGTCACAGCGATCCGCAACGAACACCGCGTTATGGAGGCCAGGGCCATGGGTGATGAGGACTTCATGAGCCGTCAGAGTGGAATTAAGTTATCTATCGCGCTACTGCCGAATAGTGTAGTGGCTCGAAGAAATTCGCGGGCACAAGTTGCTGAAGATAGCCTCGATCATTTGACGACCATGTCGCTTTGCTAATTGTGCCATCTCTCGTTGACATTCGTGAGCCACTTCGAAAAGCTGTCTATCCATAACACACTGAAGAAGCACCCGAATACGGCAGAGCACCACTGCATCAGCATGGTCGGAGGACACGCCAGTGTCTGCTGGCTTCGGCAACCCGCTTTGACCCCGGCCAGGAAGCACATTCTTCCGTTGGCCGAGTGAGCATCCAACTTTGAGGTACCTGCTGGTCATTGTGGTCGTCCTCGTGCTTGGAGTCGCCTCGTGATCCCTGACACATAGACAGCACCGCAGGACCCTACCCCGACACGAGGCAGACCGCACTTCATGAGCAGCCGACCTCCTAGCTCCCGCACATTTCATCGGCTGCTTCGTCGTCGGACTCTTCATTCCGGGAGATAGGTTCACATGCATCTACACCGCCTGTCACACATTGATGATGATTCCGTCGAATCTTGAGCACGATTGTTCCTCCTTCTCAGAAAGGTACTTCGAGCTTGGGCTTGACAAGGTGAAGACTGTCAACACCACGAACGCCCAAGACAAGGCTTACTGCTTCTTCCGTTCTGATCTTTCGCCATGATCCTTTTGTTCGCTCAGTAGGTGCATGACTGTGGTGCGTGCGTCTGCGAATGAAATCTGCTAATGAAATCTGTGCAGGCATGCTCCTCAATCCCATGGACCCACGTCTGACCTGTTCTTCTACCGGGCACAAACCTTTTCTCGACATGGTCGGTTCAAACGAGATAGATCAGGTTGCATTCAGCATAACACATGGAGGTGCTTTTACAAACTCGCGTTGTCGCGTCGACTTCAGCTTTCTCGCAAGCGTATGACTTGCGCACAGTATTGCATGCCGAGTCCAGTGGAGGCAGGGTTGTTTGGATCCCGCGAGCAAGGCAGAGTGTTTCCGAGCTGACATGCGCCCCAACGAACTTTCGATCTTTCTCTCGCCAGCTGGCCACTCCTTCGTCTGCATGGCTGGACTTTCTCTACCGCCTGAATGATTTCTTGTCTCTCCTTGTAGGCATGTTGAACGGTCCCGTCGGCAACATGCATCTTCAAACGTTTTGTGGCATTCATGCATGCTGACGCGTGGCTCAAGCTGGTCGCGCTTGCTCTCGCTTTGCGGGCTGCAGGCACAGAATGAAAGCCGGTTGTCAGGATGTTCTGCTATGTCCACCGAATCCTTGCTCAACATGTGTTTTGGGATCAGAGGTGGAATGTCCTCGCAAGAAAAAGAAGGGCCCAGTTTAACGAAGCTGCGAAAGGCGCTGTGCAAGTGATAATGTCAGCTGTGATGTTGGGAGACCCGTTCGCGTTCTGCTTTCCTTGTCTTGTTATTGTCAGGTGATCAAGGAAGCCTTCAGTTGTTTCGACAAGCAGCAGATGCTTCGAAAGCACGGAGAGCTTGAACATCTTGAACAGATCGAGGGGACCATGTGAGAGTCCAGTCCTGGTCGGGCACCTCTCAGGAAAAACACCATTGAGCAGGATGAGGTCCCTGTTTGCATTATGGCACTCGGTCAAGATGTGTCACTATGCCAAGTGTTCCTTATGGTTCTTGCAGTCACATGTGTGTGCGTGTGTGGAATTCAAAGGAAGGGGTTGCTTCACTATTTGGTTGACGTTTCTTCGGATAGCACAAATGCGGAATAGCAGCAGGGGGGGCTGGCTGTCCATGCAAGTGCCGACCCAACGAAGAGGTTTGTGATATCCAGTCTGAGTTTCACCACTGTGACTCGGTTGGCCTTGCGAACACATCGTATTGTGCAGCTAATATCGTCGTTGAACTTTCAGGCTTCAGGATAAATGAACAAACGTTTTCTAGTGCATTTGTATTGTATGTATGCATACCGACAGCGCGTCCGACAGAAGCAGCTGAAATGTCTGCGTGCTAGTGCCCTTCTTAGGAATACACGTTGCATCCCCAAACACCAGCGTTTACCATTACGTATCTGTAAGCCTGTTTTCCTGTTGCACATGAAGCATGCAGCTACACGCGTTAACGCCCCGATCTACCATCGGTGGGTCTGGGGAGGAGTAGCGCAACTGAAAATGTTACAAGCCGGAAGTCTCCCGCTGAGCTGTTGTGCTGTACGATATGTGATGTCGCGCCTTCTACTGTGCTTTCAAGTATACTAAGTATACTGAGGTCCTTACACTACATCATGCCCTTGGACTGAAAATTCATATGATCTTGCGTTGGAGCTTGAGGTTAAGGATCAAGGTATGAGCAATGTAAACGGGCCTGCATAGCTAGAACAGCTCGTTAACAACATTTTTATAGAAGGACGATTAGGGGAGTTGTTGCCCATGATTCAAGCCTCCACATCGAGCTGCCGTATCAAATGTACACTCCTACTCCTTATTGTAGTTTTTGTAAAGGGTACTCCAAAATGCGGCTCTACGCGGGACCATGTACCCAGCTTCATGATGCCTGCGCTCTGTTGTAAGAGATGCTTCATAATTATTAATACCGTTTGGAAGTTGATGTTCATGAATTAGTGATAACGCTTGGCGTTTGACATTCGTGAATCATTCGACCAATATCTCATGAGTATGTACCTAAAGCGTTTTTGGTATTACGGATATAGTTACAAGATAGCTTTCCACAAGTGCAAGACATTAACAACAGTCGTTAGATGCCGAGTATTTTACCCGTTTTTCAATGTCGAATTACCGTTATTTCAAATACATAGCTTAATATCACTTGGCTTTTGAAATTCATGAACCGTTATTGTCGCTTGGCCTTTGAATTTCAGAAATTCATGAAGTGTTCGACCAATATCTCATTTTATACCTAAAGCGTTATTGATATTAATATCTAGAAGATAGCTGACCAGTGAAGGAGAATATGAATAATTGATAGACACCGAACATGTAAATAAGACTTCAATGTTGAAATGATACCTCGCCTGTATGCCGTTGCTGCGTAGTTCGAATTAGGTTGTTTTTTCAGAAATATTCAGCCGAATAGTGCCTTTTTGAAGTTTGCCTCGTTCTGCTCCGTCCCCCCGATTTTGTTACAGAGTTTTGGGTGGATATGGGGAGTTTCTGACAGCAGCAGAGTCACCGGAATTTGTGGTGTTTTCTATTTGAGACGGAGGCAGATCATGGGGGGGCGGCGGCGGGCGGATATATATATATATATATATACACACACATACACTTGTGCGTAAAGATCTGCACAAGAGGGAAGAAAATTGTGGTCAGAGGACTTTGACTTTAAAGGAATGACAACCGGCACCGACCGGCATCACCTTATGTGTGTCTCCGGCTGGTAATTCTGTTGCAGGGCCCTTCATTCGTTTTGCAGACACCCAGAAGTGTGAATACATTCGGTTTTCTGGGCAGATAGTTACCCATGGCCAGATTCAAAGAGCAGGCGACAGCAGTCATCTGTACCCATTCCAAAGCCACCATTTCCGAGAGTTTTCGGAATAACTGCGCACGCCTTCCTACCCAAGACCTGCTGACACCCAACCAGGTAGTACAGTAACAATCCAGGAGTCACTAATTCCTATATCGCAGTTATGAAAGGATAGATTTAGAAGATGATGCCCAAACGGTTGGCCCAGATGATACCCAACCGATAAAGTCTGTAGGTTTTGTTCACTGGGGATGGTGGTGGGAGGATAGGACGCTAGTGCATCTTTTAGCCCAGCCAAATCGCAGCCGATGCTGGTATCCCGTTACCAAGCAATCTCGTCCGATGCTCCGCGTACGTGGCCATTGATCGCTTCGTACCTTACGAATGCCACCGTGGCTTGGATCTCGTCGTGTGGAGCATTGACAATGTCCAACAATTGATACAGCTGATTGCTGCTGCACACATACTGTATCGTGTGGGTGTGGTTATTCCCCCACCCTCCATTCGTCTTCGACAGGGTCTCAGGATTTTTTTGTCAAATCTCCGATGTTTTAACACACGAAGACCGATTTTTGTTATTATTTGGGTGACTTTAAGTTTCGGTGCAGTACATGTTCAATGTTTAACTGATGATGACAATATACTGCCATGTCAGCCATATGGCTCATTTCCCTGTCCAGTTTCTAATCATGCTTGATACACCAAGAACTCGATCGCCACAACACTTATGCCAATACTACTGCGCAACAGCTGGCTCCCAATGGTGGAAAGTTTGGTTTCTAGCCACCAGACAGTGGCTTTTTCGGAGGCTTCGCAAAGATCGCGAACAAAATTCCACCCAAAAAGATCATCAGAACACGGCAGCCTCGTCATCTGAGTCGCCAAAAAAGCGGAAACGATCAGCTTCGCCGTGAATGAACAAGGCTTCATATCGTGCATATCCTGTGTGTCAGCATTTCATCAGCTGATCTCTTGATTTCCCGATGTCCTTCAAGGATCTCATTGCCAATCCTGTAAAGGTTTTTGCACTGTTGTAGTTTATGTTCGCAGATCGTGCATTTCCAGCTCGCATCTCTTCGCGTCTGTAGCCATTACTGCCATGAAACGCACAGCGGCTTAAGCGGGATTCCCTGCAGACATCCAGTTGGTACGTCTGGAGGTTCATGTTCCACCAGACCGTTGCACTAGAGGACAAGCCATGATGTTTAATCTCAGCTGCGTCTCCTCGGACACCATCGACCAGGTTAAGAAAATCCTGCAATGTCGTGTCAACTGCGGGGTGGCAGACCGCAACTGCCATCGTTTCAGTTGCATCAAGCTGGCCGTCATGTAGCATTTACTGAGCCCCTTACTGTCCTTAGGACATTGGAGCCAGTTTTTTTCGTACGAGTTGCACCGGATGCAAAAGATTTTCATAATCTGAATGAATTGTCTTCGCTTCCTCCTTTTTCTTCCAGTGAACAGCAGTTTTTATTATAATCAAGTTCAGCAGTGTTATCACACATCCGCCTTTATGGCTGGTTGTGCGTGTGTGTACAATCCTGCTACCAAGGGACACTGCTTTAAAGAATCTTGATTGAGTTGTTTTTTCAGCAGGGGGCAGTGGCCCACTCATGGGTCCATTGCCTACGAAGCTACTCTTGAGTTGGGAGGATATCCAGCCTAATCACCTGGACGTACCTGCAATCTTCTTTCATTGTGTGGCCAGACGCTAAGCCAAGAACCCCATTGGACTGCCTAGTGGCTATCTATCTTCGCCAGTGAAAGTAGGAACTACATTGAGAAAGATATCAATCCGAGGGAGGATTGCACAAGTGAGTACACACTGTGTCGTGTTTTTGTTCGTGTCATGAAAATGCCAACTAACCTCCCCGTACTCCTTCCCTTCAGAATTCCGAAATATGGCCGTGAACCAAAAAGGGAAGCAAGGCCGGAATAAAGAGTTTCAGTCTTACCCTGGGCTGCCAGTCTTATCTTGATTCGGAGAACAAGCAGAGAAGCCCAGACCCAACTGGCAGTCAGGGTACGTCAAAGCTTGCAGTTACGAGTGTTGGTTTGTGAAAAAGCGTGCTTCTGAATGTCGGGCTTGTCAAGCCAATGAGCCCAAAGGAGGGCAGCCACCTTTTCAGCGAAATTCAACAAGAGGTATGTGTTTTCGCACTAAGAATACTTCAAAAACTCTCTCAACCGTTTGCGGCAGTAAGAACAGCATCAACAGCAGCGCCGAAGCCTGCAAACCCAAGTTGGTTGTGCGAAAGCTGTATTCTGCTTTATCTTGGTTACCCTGACCAGCATAAATATGAACAAATGGTAGTTGATCTAAAGTTTAAAGGGCCTTGCGCCATAATTTATATGATGGGGCCAACTGCATAGCTAAATATGCCTTTGCGAAAGTTTCGCGATGGTGCCTTTTGCGAAAGTTATCTGTTGAGCCTAGTTGCCGTGCTATTAACTTCATTAACTATTACTGTTTCTATTTTCGGGTACTGTTTCTATTATTGTTTACAATTACTATTACTATTGCTATTACCATTACTATTGCTGCTACTATTGCAATACTGTTATTGTTACTCTTACTCTTACTGTTACTGGTACTAGTACTAGTACTGGTACTCTTACTAATGCTGGTACTGGTACTAGTACTATGACTACTACTATTACTGTTGCTATTGCTTTGTTTGCATCTCTGAAGCAACAGCTTCACAATTCCACATGTATATATATATATATATATGTAATACTGTATGCCAACCGCGGGTGAAGCTGACATTCGAGCTGTTGAGCAGCATGGCTGGGTGGGATAGATGCGAGGTTGGTGTCGTTATGCGATATTTGGGCCAATTTCCAAGCGAGCTGCAGCCTCGGCACATTGCAGCTGGTAGCATCGTGCGGAGCGTGCAGCACAGGTCGGACTTGAAAGAGACGATAATACCCGAATTGCTGGAGGAGGATCCCTCGTTGGGACTTAGCCTATGCTTTTTGTTTCGACCATCGTACATTGCTAACCTTGGTCAGCTGAGGCGAGACGGCTTGGTGTCTTTTGAAGCCTTTGAGCGATTGATGCTGAGGCGCTCGTTGTGGTGCCCATCAGCCAGCACTGAGCACATGTCTGTCTCAATGCTGCGACAGGTATCTGAGCGATCACACTTATGATCCTGATGACTCAGAGACGTTACTAGCCGCCTTCAGGGTCTTGCTCTTGGCGTGCTGCGATCTATCGTCCAATGCTGGATCTCAAGCCCTGAAATGTGGCATCGACAGGTCTTGGACCCACAGGGGCACGGCTACATCGATTCTAACTTGATGCACGAGTGGCTTTCCACTAAAGGTGGCAAGGCCAGGCATGGACGATTCCTGCATGTGAGCTCGTGCTCTCGTCGAATGTGGAAGTGCTGAGCCAAAGAGGCTGCAGACTTCTTCAAGGAGCGGGAAACATCGGACTTCCTGGAGTGACCTGTGAGAGAGGGCCTGAATGTGCAGTGCAGACTTTAGTTGGCCATGTCGAGAAGCTGCGGACCTTACATGTGGGTGTCGTCAAGTTTCTAAAACATCCCAGCACATCCTACAATCGTATCGCACCGTTGCCCAACTGCTTCTCCCATCATTCTCACGAGGGAACACTCTAGTTCTATCATGATCCCGAACCTGGTCCTTCACCGGGACACATCCGCTGAAGCGTCCTCACCCCGGCCAACTCGGAGGGGCGTTATCTTGCCGGCCATCAGGCCAAGAGTGAGCGAGCTGTGTGCAAGCCACTACTCACGATGTGATCGGCATGGGATAAGAGCGCCTCCCTTGCCTCCGCCTCCAGATGGTTCTCTGTCGCATGGATAGAAATTCGGTGAGATTCGTGAATGGTTCTTCCGCGGAGGTACGCCAAAGACAAAGAAAGCTCTGACTCCAGCCGAATTTACTACGAGGATTTGCTGACCTTGCTGACATGCCCGGTGTATTTTTGATCGCATCCGCAACAAACATCTTACTAGCAGGATTATGTTGCGAAGCTGAACGCAGACATAGAGAAGCACTTGGAGAATCTTTACCAGGTTCTTTGCCCTAGGGTCGATGGCTGCAGCTTTTGGTTTTGCTAGTGGCTTGAGTTTGCGGCAGCATGTTTCCCAATGCAAGAATTTGGCAAAGGTGGCCCGCGGATCTGGCCGTGACGCCCTAAGTGTTGACAGAAGGCTGTCGCAGCGCATGGTACTGCAGAACTGCCCTCGTGAGGTCAATGATGCCTTGTGCGGCCAGTCAGTTCTGATCTCCGAAGCTAATTGAGCCAGTAAGTCGTCACATCACGCCATCTCATGACATCGTGAACTTGTCACAAACAGACATTGACGGCTCGTGGAAAAGATTTGAGATGCTAAACCCTGCAATGCACCCCTTACCACCCTGTTACGTCCTGCTACTGCTGCTCCACTCCTCACTACTGCTACTACTACCACCGCCACTGCAACCATTTCTGGGTCATTGCGACTGCTGTACTGGGTCATTGCGACTGCTGTACTATTGGTAAACTGACTACGTGCTTTTTGCTACCACTAAGTCTTTTACCCTGTACCTTCTGCTACTGCACTTGCAACACCACGAAAGTGGCGACACACGCCGTCTGAATTCAGTGTGCCTACGTGTGATGCCGAAAGCAGCATCAGAGAAAACGAACGGAGTGCGCATGCTTCTGTGCTGGCTCTTGGCACTCATTCCTGGCCAGAGAAGGATGCTGTGTGACTCCAAGCTGCCAGGAACTGGTGAACAAGGTCGTGAAGTTTCAGACTGAGATGTATGGAATGTGATTTATCGGCAACCATGCCACTGTACATAGTCGATGTGCTTCAGCCGCTGCAAAAAAGGGCAGTGCCTAAAAGGGTCCGACCGGGCCAGTTTAGTCGGATCGCAGCGGGCCCCGCTTGCGTAGTGCTCAAACACTGCAGCAAGTTCAACACAAAAAAGCACATCAAGTTGAGTCATTGAGGCCAAGGCCAAGAACTCAGCAAGTGCCTCGTTTTGACACATCGTGGCCTTCACCTAACACATACATCGCAAAGAAACTCCAGCCACACGGTCACTTGCGAGATCCTGCCTTGCGAAGCTTTGCCGAAGGTTCGTTGATTGCATCATGGTCATAGCCTGAAGTTGTGTCGAAAGCAGCCTTTCATGGAGACACGCTGGAATCCATCGCCTGCCAACTTGTACAAAGGAGATGCCAAGCACTTCCGGGTCGTGGCAAGGCTGGGCAGTAGGCTGGGCAGTCCTCAATGGGGGCCATGGCCACAGCTGCATAGAGTTATCATTTTCTCGAACCACCCTGGAGCAGCTTTGGGTCTAAACGCAATGCTTAGTGTCCCTGAACGGTGAAGAGCAGCACACAGGCCCAGCGGTGGAGAAGGGCGCCCGAATGGCTCTTGTCTGAGCCGGATTCGTGTCGCAGCTTCAGTGTTCAGTCTTCTGCCATCCTTGACACCTAGAGCCTGGAGGCAAAGTTGGCAAAAGCCTCCGAGCGACTGGTCAGCTGTTCTGCGGCTGACATTCTGAAACAGGACATCCGATCAACTGGTGCCGGTGCCACTTTGGCTTCGCGTTTCTTCCACGTTTTTTCGGAAGCAGAAGGACATGGCAGGATTCCTGGCAGTTGTCACGTTGAAAGTTTGGCCACTTGGGATTTCGGATGTGGGCGGTTACGACCTTGCTTGACGATGGAAATCCGCAATCCGGAATGTATGATCCAGGACTTTGAAGCATTGTTTGCTACAGCTTTGACTGGCAACGACATCCACAGCTTGTCACAGGCGCTTGAAATTTTTGCAGTGGCAGTAGCTGGCACACAAGCATGTATGACAGATGAAGACTTGGATGGCTTCAACATTTGCAGATCGCGCTCATAGGGCCCAGGCAGAGGTCCGGTGAGTCGAGTGTGTCGATTGAGAATGCTGCTAGCACGCGCAAGCTTTAATCGGATCTTGCAGTCTTTGGAGGCTATTGTCGATCAACAGATCGCAGAGTTCATCTCGCGCTTAGAGGTGCAGCTTCAGGACATCATGAGAGATGGCCGCCGCGATGCCATGTGTCCAAGCTAAGATACAACATCGCACCGCTTTCTGCAAGGACCCGAATGACCCGACGGCTCCGGTCAGCAGCTTATCCGAGACGATTCCGGCAGGGACGAAGCTGACACGCAGAATTTGCATGGGTTCCTGTTCCCAACAGCTGCCTTGGGTTTGTATCCTTCGAAGCATGGGGAGAATGGCACATGAACTACCAAACCAGGAAGGCAACGCCGGACGACGCAGCGGAATGCATGAAGAGGTCAAGTCTAACCAATCCATGCTTTATCAGAGGACATGATCTTTGCGTTTCCGACACTTGTGTTTTGCGTTTGTCCATGCACCTTCGGTACCAAGTGTGCTCGTCGAGCCTTGTGTTTTCTAGTTGATCTTGCGAGACAGAGGCCTCGGCCTTTCCGTCGAGGTGAGCTCGTCGTAGACATTCCTGCAACGGTCGGGAAACATTCGGCACTGCCTGCGATAGTTTCGGACCACCGCATCAGAACTTCAGAACGTGGCACTGTAAGCTTGGCCTTTCGTGAGAAGGTTAGTCCTGCGAGTGCTCGTCCATGATGGCCATGATGTGCGGTGAGCTGGATTGGGATAGTAAGAGATCCGAAAAAAAGTGAACTGATGGGACCCGCGATGCCATTTGTCTCACAGATCGGCGAATCAGCATCCAGCGCAGCACCCGACTTCTTTACATCTCGAGAAGCTAGACTGATTGATTGTCTCAAAGAAACAGCACGTTGTATCGTACACGATGGACGAATCGGTTTCGATCGCACCGAGATGCTGCAGAATGGAAGGTTCTTGAGCCTTGAGAGCAGTCGGCTGTGCGTCGCGGATATACCGCCTGCTTGATATGCCTGGTTTATCGGACCTGGAGCCGGGACACTTGAAGTTGTGTGATCGTACAAAGGCCACTCACACAAATCCAGTTTGTCAAGATTTGGACAATGCAACTTCTTGCAGTTTGCAAGTAGGCGCTTCGCGTCGTCTGCCTCTGCTCTCACATCGGTGCCCAATTTGCAGGCTCGGAGTGCACAAGGCGGGCGGGCAAGGGGTGGGGGAAAAGGTGGCCGGCTTAAACCGGAAAAAATCGCCAGCTGATACCATGGGTGTTCATTGCATACCAGAGACCCTAACAAAAAACCTAGTACAACAAGAAGACGAAAGGCAGGTATGTCGTGGTTGCACGCCACCGACGTCGCTTGCGTCTTCAATGCAAGTCCCGAACCTTTCGTTTCGCCTCCTCGTCACGGTCCGGGCTTTCCTGAATTTTCCTGCGAACCATTTAACACAAACATATTAGAAGTAGTCACTCGGTTAGAATCCTGACAGCAGCATGGTATGTCAAGAAAACGGGTTGTACGCCACCCACGTCGCTGCATACGCCTTCAATGCAAGCTCAGAACCTTTCGTTTCGCTTCCTCGTCAATGCCTGGGCTTTCTCGATGTCTCGAGTTTTACTGAGAACCATTTTGCACGAAACTATTAGACTGGAAGAGGGGTGAAGGGCTCCCACTCCTAAGCACGAGAGGACAGAGCTCCTCCAGCCTACAAAAAAAGAAAAAGAGAGCTTCCTCCGAGTTCATGAGAAAGAAGAGAGCTCCTTCTCAACAGAGCAGACAGGCCCTCCAACTTCACGAGATAGAGAATTCCGTTTACCTTTCAGTCGGCAACAAGAGACCTCCTTTCTCTTTAGGTAAGCGAAGCAGATCCTGACTATCTTCCTGTACCCTTTCAAAAGATGGAAGCGAGCATACGTTCAAGAAGAACGGGTGGAGCTTACCCCAACCTTTAAAAAGAGAAATCTGGTCCTCCCTCCAGCGTTGAAAAGAAGAGGTTATCCCCCACCTCATGCTCCAAAACAAGAAGAGAGTCCCCCCAAGTTAGTCGCGGTAGGAGAACAGAGCCTCTTCTGGCCCAGAGCTTGTTACGTCTTGGAAAGTCGCGATTTAATCTTGAAAAGAAGGAAGAGACCTCGCTCTTAGCAAGAGAAGACAAAGCACACCCCAGCTTCCAAAAAAGAAACGTCCTCTAACTCTGCCTCGACAAGAAGAGAGTGGCTTCTTCCAAGTTAATGAACAAGAAGAAAGCTCCATCTCAACAAAGCAGACAGGCCCCTCCGACTGAGGGGCAAATGGAGCTCTCTTTCTTTCTAAGTAAGGGAAAACGTCTTGACCATCTCCTTTACCTTTGCAAAAAATGGAAGAGAGCATATGCTCAAGAAGAAAGGGTGGAGCGCACCCCAAACTTCAAATTGAAAAGAAAAGGTAAAATGCTCCAAAACAAGAAGAGAGCTGCCCCAAGTTAGTCGCGGCAAAACGGAAAGCTTCTTTCTAGCTTAGAGCTCATTCACCTCGTAACCAAGCACGCTTAGCAAGACAGGACAAAGCGCGCCTCTGCTTCCGAAAAAGAAATGTCCTCTACCTCATCCTCGACAAGAAGAGATTGGCTTCCTCCAAGCTAACGAGAAAAAAGAGAGCTCCATCTCAACACAGCAGACAGCCAAGTAACGAGAAAAAAGAGAGCTCGATCTCAACACAGCAGACAGGCACCTCCAACTTCACGAAAAACAAAAAGCTCCATTTACCCTCCAGTCGGAAAGAAGAGACCTCGTGTTTCTCTAAGTAAGGGAAAAACATTCTGACTATTTCCTCTACCTTTGCAAAAGATGGAACAGAGCATATGCTCAAGAAGAAAGGGTGGAGCTCCCCCAAACCTTCAAACAAAGGAGTCTGGTCCTCCCCCCCGGCTTTTAGAAAGAAACGATAGTCCTCTACGTCATGCTCCAAGACAAGAATAGATGTCCGAGTCCCTCCAACTTACTCTTGGTATGAGAAGAGAGCTCATGTCACAAGAACTCCTTGGCCTCTTCGTAAGTCTCCATCCGCTCTGAACGCTCTTCGGAGCGCGCCTGGCCCCGGCTAAGGGCTCCCGATACCCAGAGAAGATCTAGGGGACACGTCAGCCTAGGACGTATATAACCAAAGCGTTTACCGCTCTGAGCCGGAGCGAGAGATTAGGTGAGTTCACATTGTACTAGCTTTCTGGCAGATTTCACCCTCTCCACTTTGACTAGGCACTACGGTGCCAACCCTACCATCGCGGCATACTTTGATCATATTACCTCATACTTTGCATACTTACTTCTACCCTTTACTACTCATATTCTGGTTGGGACATCAAAAGGGTTCTGCACCGATCTACACCTTCTATAAACCTTGAAGAATGTCTCATAGACTTCCCTAGGTGATACCCTATAGACTACCCCTATATATATATATACACCTCATTGATTTTGGTGCCATCTAACCGCCTTGTTGGGTGTGGGTGGGGTGGGGTGGGGTGATGCTAAACGCATTTGGTTCTGGTTTCAACGCATCTGGACCTTAATGCTGTCGTTGAAAGAAAATGCAGCCACACAGAAATTGCTCGAATCAGAATCTTGAACAGGCAGGGACAACCAATCTACAGCCCTGCCAGCTTTTTTTGGCGGCCTTATAATATGAGCCGAACGACAGCCATTCCGCTGTTGGGGATGTTCCATGGGATCATGGTTATTCTGGGATTTCGGAGGTGCTGTGGAAATGGAGCCTCAGGCTCTCTATTCTATTTTGATTGACCATCAGCAGAAAGAGAACAGAACCAACAAAAATCTGCCGGGCCAAAGAAACCGCATTACAGAGGACGGTCAAAAAGTGCGGCATCCTGAATAAGTAAGCACCGGGAAAGATGCACTATAGAGGGCCACTGCATTAAACCCAACTCAACATTAAGGCACGAATGCATGCATGCAGTCGTGCTTCTTTGCCTGCACTGATGGGCATAACACCTCCACGCCAGATGTCTGCATCTAGCACGCATGCTTGCATACAGCCGAGACATCAGCTTTGGCGGAGAGTTTGGCTGCGCTGGACCGGGACATCACATCAAAAGCATTGGACGGAGGTGCTCAGTGGTAGGGGGGGATAAACAGCAAGAGCGCGGCACAAGCTGAGATCCGGATGCTCTGTTCGTGCCGCTGCGGCCGCCTTCCTCCATCTATTGCCAGGCAAGGCTTTCTGACTGCACGGAGGATGCGTTCACGCGACAGCTTGTGTCAGGCAGTCGTAACCCTCTGGAGGTTCATACATGATGCCTTGGACGCTCCGCTCAGCCTGGCACTCCAGCTACTGAGTGGTACCTTACCGTCGTTACTTTTTGCAAGGTCTTGGCCTCCCTGTGGACATTGTGGTCAGTCCATTTATCAAGGATTTCCTTGGGAAGGCAACGAAATGAGAAATGTGAACCATGCAATCGGCAATTCCGCATATGCTCATGATACGTTGAGGTGCTGCAGCGGAGTGCCGAGCGTCTTGTGAGACCTTGTGAAGATCGAGAAGCCTTCGGGAGCCGATTGAAGATGCTCACCGAGCTTGGTGCACAATCTGATCTGCAGGATGTCCATTCGCACAGCTCAAGTGGCCGATGAGCTGAAGAGCACGAACTGTGCAATAGATTCTGAGGAGGCATGTGTGCAAGCCAAGAGGAGCCGTCTTGGAGCGGGAAATGCGAGGACGAAGGTCCTGCAAAGATAGCTGATGCAAAGCGATCCAGCGGCAGGCGAGCGCGCACATCTCAAGTCAAGAAAGGCACCGACAGACCAAACCGTTGCAGGGGAAGGAAGAAGTTCCTTACGAAGCGTGTGCCTTGGGATTGACCTGTTGAGCCGGGTACAGTGAGCCTTTGCATTCTGGCGGCTATATATGCTGTGGCCTGTAGCACTCCCAGCTGGCCCACATTCCAAGGCTGTCTGGGCGGAGCTTGACCCAGGACTGACATGCGCGAATGTCATGTGCAAATAGTTGTGCAATCAAGTCAAACTCTTTGAGGCTCTCCTGCAGCGAAGTAAGATTTGTTTTTGTCCCTCTTGATCGGGTTCCAAATAAGCTGTCTGTTTGCATGGGCGACTCCTGCATACAAAGAGCTTTCCCGAGGAGGTGACGAAAAACAGTGTAATGGAGGCGAGGTTCCACTCGCAATCTTCAGCAGTCGTTCATGCGGCATTGCGGCACTGCCACTGTCCCTGCTAGGTGCGGCTGCTGGAAGTGAGCTCCAAGGTGATTGCGGCGCCAGTGCGGCAGGTGATTGAGAGTGCGGCTGGTGAACCTGGTGAGCCAAAGCGAATGCCTGTGCAGGTCATGGTGCGACTGTCATCGATCGGGTTTTGCCTAGCGGAGCTAGCAGACGTGCACACCAAGCTCTTCAAGATGGCCTTTCCCTGACAACAGAAGTCCGTCGAGGTTCGTCAAACTGTGAAGACTGTCGGTGCTATGCGTTGAGGTGAATTCGGGCGATGACGATGGGGTTCCTACTGCTCGCCACAACGAAGCTCGGATGCTGATCTGCGAGGAGCACTCCGCCGGGCCATGGAAGCTGCGTGGCTGCGTGTTCGCGACCAGGAGCTGCCGGAATTGCAGGAGAGCCTTTTGCACCAGGCGGGCTGAGTTTCGGTCGGCTTTGAAAAGCTGTTGTCAACTTTCAGAGACTGCCGTTCGGACGGCAGAAGGGAAAGACAGCCCGGAAGACAATCGCCGCCGAACTTGCCTGGACCGTCCGAGCAATGGTCAAAGCAGGCTGATGCCGCTCAACTCTGAACCTCAAGCCTCGCTTCATCACGACCCTATGACACAGATGCAAATGTGATTCACATGTGCAGCAAGCGCAATATGTCATGCTGCTGCAGCTGCAGGGGCAAACCCTGGCCAGGCGACCTCAAGGGCTCCAGGGCTGGGTGTCACGGTCGGTTTCTGGGAGACATGAGCATCTGTCAGGTATTTGGCAGCACGACCGGCACTGAGACCGAGTAAACCATATCAGGTTGCGGACTGTGCTGTGCTCAGGTCTCGTCTACCATGAGCTACGTGCCGAGAGCCGGCCCCATCGTGTGTTTTGTTAACATGGTGGGTGTTCCATCTTATGGGGCTACCTGTGCTTGTTGCCGCTGCTCTGCGCCCCGAGAGCGGCATGCCGCACTCAGGCTCTTTGAGAAGTTGTACTTTGTTGCAGTCCCAGGTCTACATCTCAGCCGTTTTGCCATTTTTCAGGGTGCAGATGAAGCATCGAAGGTGGAGGCACTCCAACTCCAAGCAATGCCGTCGGCAGCTTCACACCTCGCAGCGCTCCGAGACTGAGAGCATTTTTCAGCGCAGAAGATCCTCAAGCAAGGATCCTAGTCTAGTTTTGGCCAAAAAGGAGCTTCGACCACACCGGCATCGTTTCTCGAGAGCGGCTCCGGGCCCACTCTGCTCACGCTGAAGGTAGCGGCATGCAGCGGAAAGGGAAGACGACGACGCGTGACCACTATCAGATACTGTACACCGTGCCCGCAAAGCTCTCTCTCTCTCTCTCTCTGCATCGGGACAGGACATTGTGGCCTGCCGCCAAAACAGCTTCCTGAGCAGCGCTCCAAGATGAAAAACCGAAGCTAACCAAACTCGCCATGAGAGCTGCATGCACTTTCAGGTCTTGTCGAGCAAGCCCCGTCAGTCTTGCTTGGTGCTTTTGTCGCCATCAGCTCGGAGAAGAGTGTCGAACAATGCATATCCGCGGTGGTGATGTAAGACGCAGGCGGAGCTTGGAATTGAGCTTACACATGCTTGGATGTATGCCGTGACCCTCAGTCTCCAGTTTGACTTAAGGGTACGTAGGGTACATTGCAGAGGTCATCGTCGACTACTTACGCAAGCAGCAGCTGGACCAGGCACCCGGCCCGGCCCGGCCCTGTGGGCCGTTAGCTCTCCCGCTCTGGCAGATCTACGAGCACCTCGCGAGCGATCAGGAAGCGCTGAGTCGAGCGCTCTACCCCTGGAAACCTCAGCGACCTGCGCTTCTCACAGCTCGAGAGAGCTTAGGATCGACTCCATGATGCAAGCAACGCGGCAGCGAGTGCAAACGAAAGCACTAGGAGGCTGGTGCGAGGCTCAGCACTGGCCCTGTTTGCCGACGTTGGGCGTCCCAGGACTCACGCTGGAAGATTGCCGAAACGCAGAGAAGCGTCTGGAAGAGGCCCTCCTGCCAGCAGCCGGAAGCTACACAACACTTAGATACGGCCCTCTCAGCAGAAAACCCAATGGCTCTGAACCATACAAGTTCTCGATGTTAACATTGCAGCAGGGGCACAGCTGCAGACTTTTTGCTATGTCCTCGAAAACACGCAATAGACATGGCCAACCTGGGACAGCAAGTTGGAATATGGATGCAGATGAATTCTGACACATTGGATTTTGTCATCACAGGTCCGCTCCAGAACCCAAGTTCTGGCTTCTTTGATGACATCTGGTGTCGCTGTGCTGACGTGAAGCGTTGGCAGCATACCCTTCCTCATCAGAACATCAGAGTGGTTGGAAGGACAGATTTTTATTATGTCTCTGAAAATAACCTTCGAACTGTGTTTTCCACCCCAGCAGCCTGCCTGCCTGGAGCGCGAGCTGTAACAGGCCCTCATCCTTACAGAAGATCCGGTTTCACAGCCGGGGAAGAGAAAGCCTGCTCTGGAGAAGAGTTTTAGTCGAGCGTTCAGGGTTTGGGTGGAGCCTCACATCGGCGACTCTGTTGCTAGCAATCGTGTCAGCGGGCCAAAGCGACCGAAAGGAAAGGGCATACGTTGAGTCCGAGTTGGATCTTTAATCGCAAGAAAGACAAACAGAGCCTGAAGATCTGTTCTTGCGCCGGAAGCAAGAAAGAGCGAGACAGGATGAACGATGGCTCTCACTTAGGGCGCCTTGAAAGCTAGTAAGAAGAAGCCGAGAAAGAAAGAACCACAGAAATAATGAATTCACGTGTTCATGTCATCCACAGGTCCAGCGGCTTTCACAGTGTCTCATTGAGGAGACCCGCGTTCGTACGGTGATGCGCTTGTGATGAATCCATTCTTCGAGCCGGCTGCAACCGAATTGGCCAAGGCCGAGGAACTTGCCCGGTATGCTGCGAAAGTGCGAGGCCTGCAGACGTTGAGCCAGCCATTCAAGAACGTGTCTTGGACAGAGCCAAAGATGAGTGCCACAGGCAAAGGTCTGAGGCCTTTGGCTTGCGACGAGTAGGCTCATCCCCTTCATATTCCATGATTATCTACCTTTTGGGGGAGATGTGGCTTCCAAACATGAGCAGGAATCGGCAAAGGAAGCCTCGAATTTCTCGTTTCAGTAGTGGGGAGTAGAGAGTCGTGCACACTCAATCGAACTCGTAGTTCTAAATTCGAGGGAGGATTAGAAGAGAGTGTGGCCGAAGCAGCCCATGAGCCAGGCGAGTTTTCCCAAGAGGGACGCGATGGGCCATCGGTTTTGGCGGGGCTTGCCTGTAAAACGGGCCTGGGCCTGGAAGCTCGGAACGGTTTTGCACAGGCGCGGGAGCGTTCGCAAACTCCCACTCCTCTGGGCCCTCGACTTGGATCAAATATTTTTTGTCCTCGGTCGTTTGGTTCCGACCAGCGCTGCAGGTCGTTCCAAGTCGCCACACCCGAGGCACACAGCCCACAGGGTACCTGCCGGTGGCACCCGTTTTGCGGCAGGTCTGCATCCCCATCCGGAGCATCTGCGGGTGTTTTTGGCGGTTACTCGAGGGGCAGTTGCGAGATCTCGAAGTGGTGACGTTAAGGAGACCTGTGACACAACTGCAGGCTACTACTCACCCCGCAGCCCATCACCGGTGCTGATATCGTGGGGTGCTGAGACACAAGAGACGTGAACGAGTCGATCTCTATTTTGACATGGACGAGGCCACGAGATGTTCCAGATTCTCAGACAGCTTCCAGCAGGCATTCCCAATTGCAAGCGTTTGCTCGAGAAGTCTGCTGGCCTAGAGAGAAGTTTTGCGATAGGTCGGCAAAGCAGCGATTCCAGGGAGCCTGGAAAGCCATGAAGTGCTCTGCTTAGCTTCAAAGCAGTACGGCAGCACTGCACTGTTGCTATGTGCGGGGCTTTCCAGGCGCTTGGGGAAAGGACACAAGGAGATGGATGTTAGGCCTGGGATTTCGCCGACAGCAGTCACGGGATACAAGCATGTACTAACTTGTCAGGGATTCTCGACAATGAGATGCGCAAGGTTTGTCGAAGCTGGCTATGCCCATAGGCTTTTCTCGTGCAGAGGGGGCAGTGCAAGTAGATGGATGGACACAGGGCTTTCACGCCGTACCGGAGACCTTCCAAGAAAGTCCCCGTACCTAGTTTACAGGTTTAGAGGCTTACAGCGAGTTTGCATCTTGACAAGCAGGATGCACCACCATTTCATGCTCTCTCACCGTTTAGAGCAAGTCAAAAGCACAAGCATCAGATGTTGCATGATGTTCTGTGGCAATTTTGGAATTTGATTCCTGGTAAGTTTTGGTGGGGCCGTGATTCCGGACTCTCCGGTTGCAATGATCTTGGCAGATGACCCGGCGATCTGTGATTCTCGCTCCACACCTGCACACGGGGGACCACCGTTCCCATCCCAAACACGCCCAACAGCATCCGCCGACCAAGCGACGAGGCAATCGAAGCACCTACCAATCGAACAACCAAGCACGACCAAGGCGACGGTCAGCCAGCCCTCTTTCCATAGCCGCCCGTTGTCGCCAGCGTCGTCCTGCTCCTCCTCCGCAGCATCGTCGCCGTCGTCGTCGTCATCATCATCATCATCATCATCATCATCGTCGCTGCCGTATTCCATTGCCACCGCCACCGTCAGCATCAGTAATCGTTATTGCTTTCATCTCACTCCCAGGCACCTTCACCATTGCCATCATCACCGTTTTCCGTTTTCTGATCGTCCTGGCGACCATTGTCTTGACAGTGTCCATGATTAGCAGTTGTGGCTCAAGCTTCGTCACCGAACTGTTTGTGGAATCGGAGCGAATTCACAAGAGTTCTTCATTCAAAAGCTTCGAACTACGCAGCAACAACAACAGCCTTTTCCGATGTCCTATAGCTCTAAGACTGACGCAGGAGTGGGAACTTGCATCACGGAGCAATTGAAACCGCTCCGAGATGCAAAAAGTCACATGATGCTCAGCTTCGTACACTTAACGCCAAGACCAACACTCCAAGACCACACGCAGCGTTTTTTTCAGAGCGTGCACGGCATGTCGTGGATGCAATGATGACTGCGCCCCTGGCAGAGGCAACGAGGGGGACGAAGAGCTTGTCGGAAACGCTGTAAGAGGAAGACCCTATTCAGAAAGATGCCGACATGCGTTCATGCAGACTACTTGATTTTGAATGACGAGATTGCTTGGACTTGGATCTCTCTTTGGTAGGTCGTTTGCGGGGAAGGCCATAGTGGGCCATGCCTCCCAATAATACCTCAAGGACAAACGTTGGTTTTATTGCTCAGCTGCAACAAATCGCTAACACCGCACGCAGATCCGTTTCATAAGCGTAATGCGACATATTAGGTGCCTGGAGACAATGCGCAGTTCCTGCACCCATCCAGGTTCAAATGCCGATGGGCTCGCAAGCAGGGAAGGCGGTTGCGGAGTTCGCAACGTGGTGTGCTTGGTCTTGTTTCTTGACAAGTGCAGTCGCTTGCAGGCATCCGCTCGTCCCGAGTTCCCGATCTCGGATTCACAGCATCTCGAGGATTCCCTGATGCAATGCAGCTCCAAGGCAGCTTTGCAGCGCATTGGGGTTTTCTGTGTGATAGGAGCTGGCTCTTTGGGGAGCTCGTGCGAAAGGCACGCTTTCGTGAGCTGTGTCGGAAGTCCTGGTGTCTCGGGCTTGTGATTCCGAGGTCACGATGGACTTGTCTTTCGCTCAGAGATGAGTGCGGACATCTGGATTCTGACGTACTCATGACGGGCCCAGGATCAAGGGTACTGGGAGCCTTGGGGACCGCCTTGCGACCTCCAAGACGTGGCGCGCGCCGAGAAGGAGCGACGGAGCCTCAAGACTGAGCCGCTGCCTTCGTCCGTGCCCAAAATGCACCCCGTGCTTTTCCCCGCCCAAAGCCGAAGCCTTTGCGAATCAAGATCCTGCGCATCCCTGCGCCGGTAGAGCTCTCGACATGCAGGGCACATTCGGTTCGGCCGCCATGAGATTGGAAGCCTTAGAGGCTGAGTTGAATCAGCTCCGAACACAAGAGGCACAGTTTCATCAAGGCCCCGAGGGGCTTCCAACACTCTTTGCGTGTCCATAGCGCCCGATCCTGCCCAGCTTGCTAGCCCTTGAGCCCTGCCAGGATTTGCAGCACCCTCGCGTCTGCCGCCCCTTGCCTCGGTGTCACCGACGCCTGCAACGAATCCCAGCTCGGCCAGGATAAATGGACCCAGTCCGTGTCCGACCGCACGGGAGGAGCGTGAGGACTCCGCTCTTCCCAATGAGAAGGCGTTCAAAGAGTTGATGCTTGCGCACCGGGAGTTGCTCCAGACGCTAACGACGCAGTCTACCGGGCAGGCAGAGCTTTTGAAGCAGCATTCCGAGCTGATGAAAGCTCACCAGGAGCTTGTCAAGCTTCGCTCTGTGCCAACACCGACGCCGCCGGCCGAGGTGAGGCCTGCGGGCTCTGCGAATCCTCGCATTCGCAGGCACAAGACTCGTCACTTTGTGAGCAACGACATTGAGTTGCAAGCTCCAAGCGAGCCAACCCTTTTGGATAACACCCTTCTCTTCCTTCCAGAGCGAGCTGTCCGTGATATGTCTCTGGAGCCCAATATGAACGACAAGAGTGACAATGACAAAACCATGTGGAGTGGACGTGTCTGGGAGTTGAGGGAGCTCATGGCCACTTTCCACAGAGACAAGTTGGCTAAGATTGCATCCGACACCGCTCAACTCACCGAATTCCGAAAGCGTGAGCTCAAAGCCAAAATGAAGGATCCCAAAGTGCGACAAGTTTTGAGGAAGTTCGCGGCAAGGTGGCGAGGTGCAGCCTATCGCAACCGCTGCAGCTTTGCGGTGCTTGATCGCTTGAAGTATTCGAACTTACGGGGCACACTGATCTACGCGCATGGCTCCGGAGGCTGCAGTTGGGACAACTACCGAATATGTCGAATGATAGCTGGCATGGGAATCCTGGTAATCGCACCGGATGGTTTTGCATATCCAAAGAACACTGCTATGGGTCAGATGAGGCACAAGGAACTAGCACCTCTGCATAAAGCCACAGATGATGTGGACTACTGGGCCAACGATCTTGTGTACACTTCCGGTGCAAACGGGACGTTCAATTACTCCAGCAAGGCAGCATCAGCACCAGAGTTGCAATTCAGAAGGAACGTTTCGGACACGGTAGCACATAAGTGTCAGACCTGACAAGGTACTGCAGAAGCCCGACGAGTACAAGGACATCTACGAGAAGTGCTATCAACTGCGGCGGTCAGAGCTGCACTTCACGATCTCCCACCTGCCACACTGGGTTCACTCTCAAGGCTTTTATCTGGGAGGCACATCTGAAGGAGCTATGACAGTTGCAAGGTTCGATGACCAGAGATATGGTGCCATGCTCATCGGGCGCTTCATCAACTCCTTCAGCATCGAGTACTGTTACTTTACGCCCGAACCGGAAGCAGGATTGATCGGTGGTCAGCTGGATGTGCCGACGTTGAATATCATCGGCACGAGGGATCAGTACTTCGGGAAGGAGGATTCGGTGGCGAAGTTGGTGGCGGAGAACGGTGTAACAGGATATGGCGACAGGAATCTCACCGGCAATGGGTACCATACTCTTGTTCGACAAGGAGTGGACGTGGGCCTGGTGTGTGTTTTGGAGATCCTTGGCCACAACAGACTAAGAGCTGTTTGAGACGGTCATTGTCGTTATGTGTACCTTTATGGCCCCGTTCAATGCACTCAGCATCGTTCCGCCTTTGCCAGGGATGGTGTGCATTCCCCATGCAACACACACGACAACTTCATGCGGCAGATCTTCAACACCTTCTTCTCCAGGATTCCTTGCATGTGCACAGTGTGTCGCCAAGCAAGCTTCAGTCAAACAGACAGCGACAGAGGGAGAAGGTCAACGAGGAAGACAACAAAAAGGGACGATTTCGCGCAAGGGGGTGGTCTTAATGCCTCCCCTCTCTCCGAAGCTCAGCAACAGGAAGAGACGGCAGGCAGTCCTCTGCCAGGAACTCTGATGAGATGACGTTTAGCATGGTGTGCAGAATCCATGGCACTACTACTGGAACTCGTCGTTTTGACCCGATAAGATGCTGTCCCCAACGATTGCCCCGATCAAGAGAGAGTATATCGCTTTTCTCACAGCGGCGCAAACTACTCGAGTGACTAGGGGATTTCGCCTGTTTGACTGCCGAACATGGACTTGTTTTCCAGAGAGCCTCTCGCCGGGATAATTCCACATTTGGATACATTGACCCGCCTTTCTGGCAGAGGTTCCGAACAGAGCAGTGCCACATGGAGCCGATATCGTTTCATGGGCACAAACTCCAGACACAGACTGCAACGACTATGCAAAGGACACAGAAGGGGAGAGACACATGAGACACGCGGTCGTGGTTACTGTTCGTACGGTGTTTGCCGGTGCAATGCGCCCCAGCACCCGGCCATCGAAGGAAGTTAAGTGCGATTCTCGGTACAACCGTACTAGCGGGGTAGCATCAGTCAACTGGCCGAGGATTTTTTGCAGTAGACTCACCACCGCACAACTGTGGGGTGCAAGCTTTTTCGGAGCTAGGCCAACAGGGGCGGGCACAAAACAGGACTCACTGTTGGTCTTCAGCCGTGTAAACAAGACAAGACACATGCAGAAGCGCAATGTGCATAGTGCCCTGGTGGTTGCCGATCGGTGCCTCCTTTCTGGATTCGCCCCTGTCAATGAGAGACGGAAGCGGAGGGAAATGGAAAAATGCCGACACTGAACTTTGAGAGGACGCAATCCATCTGGGAGCTGCATATGCGACTCGGAAGCATTATGCGCAAGAGAGAGTGTTGGGACTGCCATCGTAACAGTGTGGAAACAGGATTTGGGCCGTGGATCCATCTATGAGGGCCCTGGTTCAACTCGTCGCGGTCTCAGCTTGGAAGCTTGGCGCAAGCTGAAACCGTTTCGTTATTCATGCGACCCAGGAGGACACCACTGCCGTCGGTGAAGGAATGATTGGCAAGAATATCACGCGACTCTTCGTGCCCAAGATGAAGTACCCCAACAGGATGAGCTTGCGCCAGGTTGAGATCTTGCGGTCCTTCAACAGTCAGGACGAGCTTCGGGATGCGATGGCCAAGGAGAAGTGCATCATTGAGGCAGAAAGGACAGAAATCAAGGAACAGCTGGACCGCGTTCGGGTGGAGGCAGCCAAACAGCGAAACTTGAAATTGACGGGAAAGCCCGCATCGAATTTTTATGCAAAAGACAAGCTTGCTATCAAGTGTGCGTGGAAAGACTGGCTTAAAATGCACAGTTCTTGAAGCATCGCATGCACAAAGATTGCTGCGAGAGTTTCACATGTCGCAACACCTGGAATGTTCGGACATTTCTGTCTGAAGACCTGAATATCAGGCGCTACCTGCAGCTGCAAAGCAGCCAAGATAATGATTTCCGGCGAATGCTGGCTCGTGATTCGAGCTCAGCCCAGACGCATTTCGAGCTGAGAAGAGCACGACTCGTCGAAGTCAACGCGTTGAAGACTTCCTTTGATTTGTATTGGAGGACGCCCTCGGTGCCTACTCCCAGTGGACGACCAAGCAGCTGAGGAGCGCAGAGAGAGACGCGCGCGCGCGCGCGAGAGCCGAGAGAGAGAGACGCGAGCCCGGCCTCTCCGCAGAGGAGCCAGCGTGATGCAGTGGCACGCCTTGCTGCAGCTCACGTCCAGCTCCAAAAATGTTCGCTCCCTACGCCCCAAGACGCAGACGCAGCGAACGTAGCTCGTATGTCGTATTCCTCCTCTCAGGTATCAGTGCAGATCTCGTGGATGGCAAAGCTAACTTTGCCTCCGCCGTGGTGCACACGCCAGTACGATTTTTGCACAAATTTCATTATCGGAACTCTCAGCTGAGGTGATGCTGACGGAAATGCCGAGACGGATGCAAGTGATGGAGGCCGGCTAGGGACGCTTATGAGACAAGCGGAAATTTGGAGAGTGACAGTCGTGATCAACATGCAGTCGACATGGTTTCGATCTGCAAACTTCCACAGTTTGAAACCTGGCGCCGTTCACTCGTTCACGGCTTCCCAAGAGCCGGAACTTTTTCACAAAAGCTCGCTCGTCAGGAGCTTGAATTCAAGACCCAGCTTTGCACAGATTTGGGCTGTTGGGTTGGTGCTCGTAGTTGGTTGGGGATGTTGGGGTTGGGCTGTGCCCCGAGCTTGTGGCCTTGGCCCTCCAAGGGTTTTAGGAGGCATTGACGGTACCGGCAGAGGGTCCGAGGGTCTGTTTGTTTGAGCTTGCGCCTCAAACCATTGCGTGCTGTGACCGGCAGGATCGGGTGCAGACTCTGGAGTGCCGCATTCAGCTATTGAACGATAGCACGCTGAGTCCACAGCCACAGCCCAGTGCTCAGGCTGAGTTGCGTACGGGTTCGAAGCGGATTTTCGTCGTTTCGTACTCGTTCGGCCGTCTCGCCCGAGGCCCAGGGTGGAGGACTCAGATGGGCAACTCTTTTGCTTCGGGATTGGCCATGAGAAACTTGGAGAGTGCTTGGAGGCTTCGTCAAAGGCATTGAAGGCTCCTCCCAGCGTCTCTGACAAGCCTTCGGACGAGGCGGGTCGGCCTCGGCCTGGCTTAGGGATCTTCCGGAGGCGCAGCATTCTGACCTGAGGCAGTGAGGGAGTGCAGAGAAGCGGTGGGTGTCATGTTGTCCATGCAGCAGCGGCGGCCTCAAGCACTAGCAGTCTGAGACTGTCTGAGCTTTGGCCAGCGGAAGGAACATGAAGCAAGAGTTGGCAGCGATCGAGGAGCAGATGTCCATGAGGTTGGCATTGTGTTCTGCAAGTGCAGCAGGCGCGCGGAGCACATCTGGGCCCGCAGGTCGAATGACTTTGAAGCATCTCTGCGGGCTGCGGCGAATGCCAACCATGATGCGGTACACACCCTCTTCGCGTTGCACAGCCAAGAAGTGGAGGCGCAGATCCGAAGAAGCTGTCAGTGCTTCTTTGGGACGGCCCTGCAGTTGCAGGCCCTTTATGCGCGAAGCGCTGCGTGTGAAGAAGGCTCCTCATATTGTATCGACAGCCACTGCCGGCCTGGGACACCGAGATCTGGCAGGGCTGCAAGATCTGCAGACTCAATCATTGCTCCTCTCCAAGTGGAAGGAAGCTCACCTGCTTTGACATGAGTTGCAGAACTACTGGTTGTCATGCCCACAGCCTGAAGGACGGTGCGTCTTCTGACCTTTGCGAATGTGCGAGGCGATTGACGGAGGTCCTTCTACTTCAACGTTGTCCGTGATTTGCTGCTGCTGCTGCTAATTTGCCCCTGCCGGGACCCCGAGGTGGAGAAGGCTGCCGTGGTGACGAGCTCAGGGCATGAGACATTCGTTTACTTCCCCGGTCTCTGCAAATGTCAGGAATTCACGGACAGGCTTTCGACAGGCCCGGCCTTTCGTCTGAACTGTTGGACCATCGTGGACATAGGTTTGGCATCGGTGGCTCTCCCCCCTTCTGTACTAAGCTCCAGTCTTTGTAGTTCTGAGGCCCCTAAGCAAGAGAGAGCTCTGCAGGGAGCAGGAAGAAGTCGTGACCTTTCTTCACGCCATGACACTGTTGCTTATGTGGGTTCTCACAGACATGAAACTTTGTGGTGGCACCTTCCCGCCAAATCTTTGGAGAGCTACAAGAATCGCATTGGCATGAGGCCGGCCGGCCTCCCTCTCTTTGGCTTGAGGCGAAAGGTCGTCAGGTGCTTGCTGTAAAGCAAATGCTACGAATGCACGCCTCGATGTCCGTTGAGCAGTCTTGAGCCTCTTTGAGGCTGCGTTGGCCTTGGGCAGCTTTTGAGCAGTTGGGGAGGTCTTTGAGTATGCAAGCAAATTGTGTTTTTTTAAAATCTCTTTTGTTTTGTTCACTCTCTCTCTCTCTCTCGGTCTCTCATGGCCTCACTACAGTAACCCAGCAATCCAGAAGGCAAGACTGACCCGTCTGATGGTCCTGAAAAGCCTGACTCGTAGCAAGCCCTCTGTGGGAAACAGAGGATTGGGGCAAGAGCTTTCTGTATCGTTACACACTCAATCCTGATCATTGTAGAGGGTGAAGCATCGCAGGTGGTGGAACGGCTGCTGTCAGCAGAGCAGCATCAAAAACTGCTGCAGTGTGGGCCGCAGAAGTTTGAGACCATGTGCGGAAGGTGTGCAGAACGTATCAGCTCAGAATCGTCTTCACAAAGCCCAGGCAGCTGGACTGGATGAGGTCGACGGGCTGATGTTTCTTTCCAAGCCTGTTGAGTGTTGCCTAGACGTTAACTCTTTTCCAATTTTGTTCTTCTTATAGATGAACTGACGATGGTCTGTCTGCCCGGAGGGTTTGCGCACATCCGTGGTGCCTGAGGATGCAGGCTTAAAGGGTGGGGAGAACGGGTTCAGATGGGCAGCACGCACGGTTGCAACAAGCAGAGGACAGGCGACGCAAGCCGCCAGGGCGACTTCAAAAATCGCTGTTGCGGGGGCCGCGGCCGATCGAGATCATGCTGCCTTGTCGTACCGTTCTCGTGGCTGCGACATCTGGTTGACAAGGCCCATGGTGTTGCATCAGACGAGGCCGACCGGCTGGTCATCGCTTTCCGGCTTGCCATGCATTGCTTATGTGGTGAATTCGAGAAATGATGCACTTTGTAATCTTCCCAGGGAGCTGTCGGAACATGTGACAACGGCTTTGTTTGCCCGGAGGTTCTGCCCGCATCCACAGTTTCTGAGGATGCAGGCTAATTGGGCAGAGAAGGGAAGCATGCAGGGGCTTTTCAACGAAGCCACGCGGCTAGTGCGTTTGTGGACTTGGAGGACAGGTGATGCAAGCCGCCAGGGCGACTTCAAAAATCGCTGTTGCGGGGGCCGCGGCCGATCGAGACCACCGCCTGGTCGTGTCATTGTCGTGGCTGCGGCATCTGGTTCACAAGGCCCAAGGTGTTGCATCAGACGAGGCCGACCGGCCGGTCAAGTTTTCCATCTTGCATAGCATGGTCCTTACTTTCAGAGAGCTTGGGAATTTCTGAGGCTGTGCGAAACGTGCAGGACGTTGCCTTGCTGGTAATCTATCTTTTTTCTAAATTCTTTTTGGCTACGGTGCAATGTTGTAAACAAGAGACTGCCAGAGATCGCAGGAAGTAGCCATAAAGGCACTGGATGTTGCGCAGAAGGCACTTCTGATTGCAGAGGACAGATGCCCCGTTGTCCGTTTATGGCATCTGTGTTGTAGTCCGGTGTCATGATGGAGGAGACACGCGCGCAAGGTTCCAAGACGTGCAAGGCCTTGCAGCTTCTACCTGATCTGTCCACGGTGTATAGAGTCGGAACAGCTGACATGCCTTCGATCAGCTAATTCGATGGAATTCGAGTGTGCCGTTCTTCACCATTTTGAGCGTGAGCCCTGCAAGGATGGGGACAAATTGGCATCACCGAAACCAGCTGGAACTTGGTTGAGGACCTAGATACCGCGAAGTTTGATGCAAGATGTGTTCATGCATGTGGAGCATGTCTTGGATTCGAGGCCTTGCCGACCCCGGGCCATCGGCCAAGATCCGGAAACACACATCTGCTAGCGAAGGCTATTCTTGGCTGGCACTGGTTTCAGGTGCTGCAGGGCTGCCTCCCCTATCTACCTCCATCTTCGCTGGCACATGCATGCTCCTCAGTTTTCGCCTTGGCCTTCACCTTGTCCTCCAGATTGAGCAAAAGCTTGGAGCTTGGAGTGGGAGCCACTCTGGTCCGCAACCTTTCTGTTATGTGCAAATCTCGTGGGCTGTAACAGTCCCGCAACTTCCCCGGCATGGGAGGTGTGATCATCATGCTTCAAAGCATGGGAAGCTTGACACGAGAAACGGCTGCATGCACAGAAGATAGCAGCGGGAGCACACAACTCAACTGCTCCAAGATTTGATAAACCAAGCGACCCCCATTCAAGATGATGAATGGGGCGGATTCAAGGCGCATGACCATATGAACCTCAAAGCAGATCAATGGGATGCCCAAACAGGCTCGAATGAGGGTTCTTGTTGGCAGGGGTTCCTTTTCCGCCGGTCCTATCGGAACGAACCGGCTCCATCAAATCCCCCGTCGTCTCTATCTGCCATCGTTCATACCGTGACTTTGGTTCGACTGCCTTGCCAGAGGAGGTGCATCGGCATAAGCAGTGCATCCCCCAGCTTGAGCATCAGCAGGCTCACACCTAGAGAAGCTGAGCCTGAATCGCACAGGCGGTCACCTGATTGCCGAAAAGATAGACTGCAGCGAGCTCATGCTGCTGTCTGCGAGCCCGGAACAATGAACATTTCGCGACAGTCGCGAGGAATGGCTCATGGCACGATCGATCTCCCAGCAGCGGTGCCACAGATGCCTGACTGCAAATCAGAGTCCAGTTCCCTGATTTCATGGGGCAGTAGCTGCAGGTATCCGCTTCCACAGGGTTCGAAACAGGGTCCGGAATCCGCGAATCTGATCGGGCCAAGAATCCTATCAGATTGAGCCCGGCCCCAGAGGCGATTATGCAGGGTGCGAGATGGCTCAAGAAATCATTGGAGTACGCTATTGAGGGTTCGGATCTGTCCGAAACTCGTCACTTTTGAGTTTGGGTCGGTTGGGTCTTTTCGCAACCACTCACTCCTTCAGGGGTTTTGGGATAGTGGGGACCAGTCAATACATTGAGACACTTCTTCTGGACTTTAGGATGCTGCAGCACTCATTCCGTGCCAATACATTGAGACACTTCTTCTGGACTTTAGGATGCTGCAGCACTCATTCCGTGCTGGTAGGGTGCTTGGCTTGCCAGGAATTCTACCTTGTGGGGTTCTGGTTTTTTGTGAACCAAGGGGGTTGGATGTTGTGCAGCCACTGATGGATGTTGATGTTTGGATGTCAATGCATGTTGTAGGTTTTGTGACAACGAGACACTCCTTGCCAAGGGTTTTGCGATTCTGCAGCACTCGGTCCGTTCAGCTTGCCATCCATTCTGCCCCATTCGAGTTTTGGGCTTTGGTGGCTTATCTCGCGTCGAGGCATCGTGCCCAGAAGATCCCAGAAGCTAAGTCGGGCCGTCGCTTTTGGAGAGTCGATTTGTGGGTCAGAGGTCTGCTGTTCCAAAACGTGCGAGCAGATACGGTGTTAGTGGGGATCTAGCCTCACGGGACATAGCGCAAGACGAAGGACGACTCCGACCTCAAAGACGAGACAGAGCTGGGCCCATTGCAGCAGCCTGCCGAGCTTCGAGAAGCGAAAACGCCGGCTTTGGTGCTCCTGGGAGCAAGCGGAGGAGGCTTCACAGCACGGGGCCGAACTCAAGAGGAGGAGAAAGAGCGCTTCCTTCCTCCTACCGGTGGTTGCTTCCGCCACCTCAGTCCCCACAGTCGACTCCGCAGCTGGGCCGCAACGAAAGAGATCGCGGGCGCGGGATTAAAGAAGCTTTGCATCTCTGACGCTTCGATTTTCGAAGGCTCCAGAAACACTCGGCCCTTGACCGCGGAGCGACCGCAAGTGGTGCATCGAGGACTTCTCCGGGGCTCCGTCGAGGGGCAATTTACCGGGAGCATTGCATGCATCCGATCCCACGAAGGAGGCGTCGTTCGACCTTCGACTGCTGGACACGTGTGAGGTCAGGAAGGTGCATCTGTGCAGGCAAAGTCTCTGCACGAACTGAGCCGTTTATCCCACTGCTCCTAGCACTCTGCGTGAAACAAGCGGAACAAGCCGGAGGAAGGGCTCTACTTGTTTGCTTCTTTGTGGACCATGTGGGAAGCTAATTGCAGCTGCTGGACCGCGAGCTCAGATTTTGACTCAGGCCATGTCATGTCCATTAATACAAACAAGCGAAGCCTTTTCCACGTGCTGCCGTAGTCTTCGTTCGGTTGGTTTCGTGTTTATGCTGTCAATCCCGATTAGAAAGCTCTTGCTCGTCCGGCACGATGTCACTTCGCCTAGAACTAGACTCAAACATGAGCCCATTGCTCGACGCGCCAATGTTGCAGCCTGGGCTAATTTGTGGCCTATTGCCTGCATGGCATCACTGTATCCCTCATTGAGGCGGGACGCTTAGCTGCTAGTTTTGTGAAGCACGCACTGGTTCCGAAGTTCCGAACTCAATGCAGACTCTGCAGGAGTCCTTTGCTTCCTGGCCCGCAGTCACCTGGGACACAGGCCGCACAGGCTCTCAAAGACGGAGGTGGGCCATCGTCCTTGCGGCCATGGGTGTGGAAGCTCATAACGCGGCCAGTTCAGCGGCGGCTGCTGTCATGCCAGCTCGAGGATCTGATCTGTGCAGGGACCGACACCAGGCCCAAAGCCCAGCCGCCCAGCTGCCCAGCGTCTCCCGGGTGCCGTGGCGCCAGGTCCACTCCAAAACCCCTCGTCACTGAATTGACCAAGGCCAAGGCCAAGGCGGCTAAGGTCAAGCTGCATCTCACGCAGATTTTCTTTCTGTGCAGGAACCAGCTCCGCCCGGATTGCTAAAGGATACGATCGATGGCCAGCGCAGCCCAGCCACGCTTCAGAGCACTGTGCAGATACTTCGAAAGAGTTCGAATCTCGCGTCTCAGTCTCTTCATTCCAGGAGGCCGTCCGACAGAGCGGATTGTGCGGGTGGGGCTCCGCAATCCCTCTCATGGGTCAAGTCAGTGTGACGCCCAGTGCAGGACATAGAAGAGCGCAAAGCCAGCCTGAGGACAGTTGAAGTCTTGGGCCGACCGAATTCAGTTTAAGGTAGTTTCAGAGATGTGGCCCTCAGAGGAAAGTAGCCAAGCACTCCTGGAGCCCTGCGACGCCTGCTACCCGGAAACATTCCATCGGGCGCTGAACTGAGTCACATTGATGTCCCGACGAGGGATCTGGAGCCGACCTTGGAAGAGCGGCCGCTTGTGCTTCTGGGAGACTTCTCGCCCAAAGATGGTTTGAAGAAGGAGACATTCCGGAACGTTGGTGTCAAGCTCTGACATCTGCTGCAAGTTGTCGGTGGTGCAGGAGTCGGAAGCAGGAAACTACGAGAGAAAGATTCTCTTGTGGGTGCGTGGCTCATGGGAATCTGCAGCTGCCTAGATCTGTGAAAACAACTGAGGGATTCAGCAGTTAAGAAGATGGGCGATGTTTGATATCGGACAGCAGCCGGCTGACCTTCGCACAGAGCCGTCACGCGCCCTTGCAAAGGCGCAGTTCCTAAGTGACCCAAGAAGAGTGGCTTGACGTAGTGTTGACTTGTTTTGTCATCGGCCCTGTGGTGCTCGCTGCGTCGCTGTCGTGGTCACGTGCCAGCGCTCTGAGGATGAGGGCCGCCGATGTTTCGCATCTCATTGGCCCGCACCTTGGCAACTGTACTCTACTCTGTTCACATCGGCAGCCGAAGAGAAGTTAGTCGATGGCAGATGCAGATGGCGAAGACTTGGCAGTTGTTCTTTCAACTTCTGGAGCTTTGACTCAAGTCGTAGATCTCGTAGATATCTTTTTGACGGTTTCTACATGTACTCCGTTGAATTGCTCGTTTCGGATTCACATCGAGCTTGGGCAGAGAAGGCAAACAGCAAAACGGGCTACATACTGGCCATGGGGGTGGGCGACAGTTGCTCAACCACAGCATGCCAACCTGTGCCAGCCATACCACATTTTGTCTCCTCCCTGCTGCGGCAGCCCCTTCACCCTCGGCCCAGTCCTCGGCCTTGTGTCTTCAGGCCGGGAGCTTTGGCCTCAAGCTTCTGCAGCTATGCTTTCGACCTGCTGTTGCAGCATGGGCAAGGGCCCCAGAAGCCTCCAGAAACTCGTGGCAGAGTCACAGTAGCCAGGCCATGGGAAGCACTGCACAGCAAGAAGGGGCAAGTCACTCGAGAGACCTGTCCGCGCCTTTCCCGGCGCAGTCCGTTGCAAGTTCAACAGAACTCTGCGTGGTGGACTCAAGGCTGGTATGTTCGAGCAGGCTGTCGATGCGACTATACATACGGCATCGCGAGAGTGGGGAGCCGGTATGGCCGTATGGCTATTCTTTCCACTTTCAGGGTTTACGTCGTTTGCTCCGCTTGCTGGCCCAGGTCAGAGCCAAGAAGAAGCCTTCGGCCACCTTTCGAGCAGCAAGATTCCAAGACCCCACGGGCTCCCACGGGCTCTTGGTGGCTCCGCGGTGATGTCAAAAGACTTGAAGTGAGGCAATGGAGACGCTGCTTGAAGAAGTGATGAGCAAGGAGCTTAGCGGCTTGGTTTCAAGCTGTCAGTCATCCCTGGGTTGGAAGACCTGAGGTCGGGTTTGTCCTGGGCTTCCCAAAGATGCGTGGCCGAATTGTGCAAATCTAAACCTTTACACTGAAGCCTGGCAGTCCGTCGGTCCTGGCCTCGATTCGGCAGACTCTTCGCAGATCTTCTGCGGTGCTCGCTGAAGGTTGGCACGCAGATGACGAGTCTCTGTTCATGGGTCCCCATGGCTGCATTTGTAGTCCACATGGCTTCTGTGAGCTGAGCCGCCGTCCCAGGCCGTGATCGCGACTGTCCCATCGTTTCAGTGTCCTTGGGTGCCAGACGGGAGAGCTCACCTCAGATCCATGCCTTGCTGAGCAAGCACTCTCTTCTCACGGTTGAGTTCCTGAACTGATGTCGAGACAAGCAAGAACGGGCAAAACCATGCCAACCGCTTTAGAAAAATTGCACTGTCGACAACGCAAGGTCAATGCAGTATTGTCTTCAAGTGGCAAGCATCCGATACAGAAAACTGCAACGCCGAGGGTGCGTTTGCTTAATTTTCTGGGATATCAGGTTTTGGCTTGCCTTGCGGCACGAGAACTGCATGGATCCACAGCTAAAAAGTATCGTCGAGGCCGGTGTGCTTTATGAGGAGTTGGGGAGATTTTCCAGAGGTCAGAAACAAGTTGACGTTAGCTGACAGGTGGACTTGTGTGATGGAGACGTCTTGACAATGGAGGCCGCTTTGATCTGGAGAGTGTATGGCATTCCTACGTGCAGAGGGACGAGTGAACACGTGTCTGGTTCTTGTGGGTACTAATCGACATGGCGGATGAGCACAGTTTTCCATCGAGGAAGCCAAACAGGGAACTTGTTATGATCCAGGCAGCTCACCGGCATGTGTGAGTGCTTGTTGCTTTGGTCTGGAGTAGTTCTCATACCTAACCTACCTAACCGTCGCTGATTCTCCTGATGTGGATCCGAGTCCATGCATGTCCACAATTGGCCACGTCTGTGGGTATTCCTGACAGGGGCTGTGCCAGAAGCATTGTGTCCACTTCGTGCCGTGCGACGTGCGCAATGTGGCACCGCATCCGTGGCAGTCCGATGGTCGTTCTGACCTCGCACCGAGGGAATTTCAAGAAGTTGGCCTCACTTCTGCTTGTAACGAGGTGCTCGCATCAATGTTACCTGGCGCTGGATCCGCGATCACAAGCAAAGGTGTCGGAAGCTTGGACTATGGGCGCTCGTCAAGGCGGTTGTGTGGAACTTTCACAACCTTTTTCCAAGTTGTTGCGCTCAGCCATCGCACTAATCCTATGATGTTGCTGGGCCAATGCTTGCATCATCAGGTCCGAGGAGAGCGGCTGACGGAGACAACGCCGCCGACTTTTACTTTGAAAAACAAGGCTTGGCACGCAGAGTCTTCTCTGTCTCGCAGACCCTCGGTTTCTTTTCTAGGCCGAGTGCCTTCGGAGAAGAAAGCTTTGTTTGCACAGTCGTGGGCTGCGGGCTGAGTAAGAGATTGCGCAGATTTGTTTCGTTCAAGCAGCGGTGTACCCTTGTGAAAGCATAATGGACCCAGTTGTTTGCCTCCGAAGCTTTGCCATGGGAAGCCAGTGCAAGCCGGCGCGAACCCGGTGGGAGAGCAGTGTATCTATCCATCTCTATCTACCTACCTACCTACCTACCTACTTACCTACCTATCTATTTATCTATCTATCTATCTATCTATCTATTTATCTATCTATCTATCTATCTGCCTATACATATGCATATCATGGGCGCGATGCACTTTAGTGTATGACCGCGCCCCTCATGGAATAGTCAAAGAAGCTTCATATTGGCAAAGTCTTCGTTCAAGGCAGGGGGTCGGGCATTGGCTTGGAGATCCTGTCAAGAATGCGTTGGTGCCCCAGTCATGGCAGCAAAGAATGTAAGTTGCAGGTGAGTCTGAGAGCTTTGTGCCATTTAAGCTTCAGCACTTGTCAGGACCACGATGCGTGGAAGGGTGGCCGGAATTGCTTGAAGTACCAGTCTGCGCCTTTCAGTGGTGTTGCATGCGTATGCTGTGACGACCACCAAACTTGCTCAGGAAGCAGTGGCTTTGCAGGCAGAGTGAAGCACGAAGACATTAGATCGACTCTCGCCTTGCAAGAGCCCGAATTCTGGAAGGCCTTGCTACGAGTACATGCTCACTGGTGCCCAGCCCTCAGTGCAGGCACCATTGCTCGGGCGCTATGGCTTTGATGGCCTCCGTCTTTAGGGGCCTCCTCGGGAAAGGCTGCAGCCACCGAGGCAAAAAGGGCAGAGGCGCGCCCAGTTCGGCCCGGCAAGTGCTCGGCATCAGATCGAGTGCAGGCGGCCGGACATCTCTGTGATCAGAGCTCGTGCACTTCAAGCTGAAGCTGTTGAGGTACAGGGGTAGAACTTTTCAAGCTTGCTAGGGCATTGTACATGGAGATTCAATGATGTCGCCCTGTCTGTCCGACGTCCTGCAGCAGGCCTGCATGCGCATGCACGCGCACTAGCAGGTGCTCGCACCTTTGTGCACGTTGCACGCACACGCTGTGTTCTCCGCTTCGTGCATTTTTGCTGACACCAAGACGGTGAAGACTGTTGGGGGCGTTGCCTTTTCCCTCTCTTGGTTTGACAATGTATCAGAATCGCGAATCATGGCTGGGTCTTGACTTCCTAAACTACAGCAAGGCAAAAGCCGAGTTGCTGTCAAAACAGAGTAAGATTTCTACAAGTGCCTGAGTGCATGCCAGCATGCACCTGTGAGGGTATTCGCGTGTAAGCTTCATCCAGGCGGACGACGAAGACACAGCGTCTGAAGCAACTCCTGATCCCGCTGATGCGAACCGGCATGCCTCTGAGGGAACGGTGTCTCTTACTGGACAGCTGCAGTGAGCAAATGCTTAGGTCTGCCTGCTCAGTGCAGAGCTCAGCACCTGCTAGCACAATCCACATTTCTGGGTTCCGATCAAGAAGTTTGTAAGCAAAGGAGGGCCGGGCACTCTCACCTGCCTCCGAACGAAGCCCATGTTCAACCATCCGCTCACACCGGAAACCAAGTCAAGCATTATTCTTAGAGTCTTAGAGCCTTTGTTTTGTAGAGTGGATCTGGTGCAATCGCCGCGGAATCAATCGAAGCCCCTGGTCAGGATCCAGCGTGCATACAGCTTCCCCCGCAAAACGTGCAGGAGTTTTGGCACGTTTGTTGCCAAATCTTGATTTAGTGGGCTCGATCTGCCAGAGCTTCCAGGAGCAGTTCTACATGCAGACGATGAAGGCTTTACTTCGCTGATGTTCACAGTACGGTTGTTGGAGCCATCGTTGAACTTGTGATTCCTTAAGGCGCACATGTGCCTCCTACAGCAACAGCTACAAGTGCAGCAGCACCAGGTACGCCCAAAAGCTCATGTGCTTCACGCTCGTATCGCCAGCTTCTGAACACATGTTTTCTCTGAGAGGCGCTTCTCGCCCTTGCGGCAGCTGGCAACAGGCAGCCAAAAGGGTGTTGAGCCTCGTCCGTAAAAGCCCGGTTCGAGATCTGACCCCGATTCGCACATGCCGATTCACGAACCTGCGATTCAAGCAGCAGCCGAGCAGCTTTGCGGTTGGTGCTCCAATCTCCTGTATGTGCAAACCCACCCAGTGCGCGACTCCGTGGCCCCAGTGCGCAAATCCTTCGCCTGCGCGCGTGCGCGCGAATGATTTGTTTCCAGTGCACGAGCCCGGCTTTCCGCCTCGTCACGACGATCTCTGGAAGGACTGCTTCCCCGTAGCAATGTCGCAGCCTGCACCTTGTTCAGGCCATGGCCATGGTCGCTTGAAGCGCCTTCGGTGCATGACCCAGCGGCACGCAGACTGATCGGAATCAAAGTCAACGCGCAGCAAATTCACAGGATGGGCAGCCTTGTGGCCAGAGAGGTACACCGCAAGTGTTCTAGCCTTACAGAGGTCCAACTTGCTGCACGACTAATCCTTCATCTTCTCTGATGGAGCTTTGTCGTATGGAAACAAGGTCATACTACCCTGCGGCAAGGCGATCGTGCGGTGAGCAAAAGCGCCGATGTGCCACTAGCCCTGTCTCGAGTGTTCGCATGTTGCGCTGAGGCCGAACTGTACATTAGTATGGTGGCGTGCCGATGCTTGAGAATTCAAAAACACACCGGGAACGCCGGAGCATCTTTCCTGAACACGAGATTTGTTGTTGCCCAACAGGGCTTCGTGGGCAGTGGCATCTCTGTTGCAGCAGTGTCAGGTGTCGTTGTGCGCAAGTCAAAGTGGATGCAACCTACAAACACGTGTGGTAGAGCACGGCCACCTGCTGCAATGGGGTGGAGACTCCTTTCTGCAAATCTGTGGCTCTCGACCGAGTGGTGTCTGAAGTGGGATGACATTGCATCAACTGGCTGGTCTTGCGGAGGCTTGCAGCCGCGCAGCAGTTTCCAACGAGTGGGCATTTACCTCAGTTGCTGAGCGGATGGGTTTATGTGTTGTGAGATACGTAAAAGTTACATGAACTAAGCTCAGCCTCAGAAATTCTTGGAATAGTTACTATTGCAGTCGAGCGATCCGTGCTCTTGGTGGCAACCAGGGCTGCAACGGCACTACGGGAGGCGCCGGAACTGAATGGAAACCAATGGCGCAAGCACTGCCGAGAGTGATCGGATCAACTAGCGCGCTGCCGCCTCTGCGCCCGGTGCTCGTGAGAACACTCGCAAAGTGTCATCAAGCTCTAGACGCGACAGATACTGTAGGTGCCAAGACATGCCTGGTTCGCTAATGTCGCAACCAGCATCAGCAGACCGTCGGAGAAAGCATCAGCATTGCCCAGAGTGAACACTGGCGTTTGCCGAGTTGCTTCGAGTCCAAAGAGGGCCGGCATAGCGATTCGATGAATTGCAAGCATGAAGTTTTGTACCATTTGTACCAGCTGCTTGCAAGGCTGTAGATTGGCTGGCCATCTGTTACAGATTGACATGAAATCAGTCAGGACATGGACGTACGATTATTCGCAGCAACAGCCCGATGCTCAGAGAGTCCTTGGGACCAGTTGGGGGTCGATAGTGACAGCAGGTAGGCAGTTCTCAGGGGCCACAGGACGTCGACAACTTTCATGTGCGCAGAACCGACGCTGCGAGGCTCATGAATTCATGTGGGAAAGCGCGCAGATCCTTCACTAAAGTGCGACATCACGAGATGTTGAAATTGTCTGGGAATGCAGGAATCAGCCCCGAGCTTGTCAAAACCGCTCACGAGCATGTATTCACAAAATCGGTCTCTGAAGCTGCGAAGCTGCTGCAGCAAGCGCGGAAGCTTCGATGAGCACCTCTGTAGTTGAGAGTCCAGGTAGGCCAAACCAAAGCTGCGAGTCGGCAGACGAAGGTCGGAGACCGGAGGTAGACACTGGCCCACATGTCAAAACACGGTGCACTTATTATGTAGCTTAGCGTGGCAGCGCATGCGCAAGAGTTTTCTGCCACGATTCATTATGGTCTTTAGCTCGAGCTCCATGGAAATTGTCTGCATGCAGCAGCTTGTAAGGGACTGGAAGAACATCGTGGGCACGCAGTGCGGGTTGAACTTGCTCGCTTGATATGTCTGTTCTAACTTCGTGCGATTGGATTTGAAACCGCTGGGGACTGCCAGGGCAAACTACCAGTCGCCCATTGACATTCCCAAGCCATGGCCTGTGATTGAGTTGGAATTCCTTTTGTTATGTCGTTGTTCGTGATCTCGCAAGAGCCAAGGGCACTTAGCTATGTCGACCACGCGAACCTCACGCACACCGTCTATTCTTACAGCCACTGTCTGGAAAGATTAGCTCGCCAGCGTTCGAAGACCGCATGCTCAAGGGGTTTACAGACATGCCAGGAAGCTGGCGACAGGACCACGCCCTGCAGCCTCACGTTCGTCAGTGTTAAGATGCTTGCGGTTTCGGCGCAACCCCACATGCTCGAGTGAGCGTACATGAAACATCTGGATGTGATTCTCTGGTCACTCCATGAGCTCCTGGGCCAGTCCCAGGCAGAACTCAACATGATACAAACGCAAAAACGGACTCGGCAGAACGAGCACCTGTCTGCAGGCAGAGGAGTAGATGCCCAAGCTGGGCAGTTCATGGTCAAGTATGTACACGACCTCAATGATGGGAAGCAGTGGGGATACAAAATGTGTCAATCTGAACGAGGTACTTACGATAACCCGTCGTGCGGTGCTTCGCCAGAAAAGTCACGCGTTGTCGAAATCCTGCAGCAGGCATATACGCCAAGGCGATGTGGCCACAATATTGCGCTAGTTACATTTGTTTGGCTTCTCTTGGACCTCAGCTCCAGAAATAAATCAGGCATAGCGTGACCTCCAACAAGAACGGAGGGTAGGTGAATAATGCAGACAAATAGGGGCCCTGAGGACAGTCGCCCCTGAGCTGCTGACAGTAGCAGCACTTCCCGGTGAGGTGAACTGTTTTTCCAGCTTTTCGCATATGCAGTCATGCAGTTGTTTTCGAGATGCCAACAATTTCGCCACAGGAATTGGTGAACGTCTTGGGCCTTTCGCAGTTTCCCTAGCAACTGAAGCAGTTGGTCAATTTGCTTCCGTCCATGCCGGCAGCACCGTCCCCAGGCTTGGAGTCTGGCTGCACAGACGGTGAATGTCACGCTGCATCCAGGACATGCTATTCCGGATGTTTCGTATTTGCACTGCCCAGGCCTAGAGTCTAGACGCTGTGTGTGAGTCCCTTGCCTGTCGAGGGCCCTTGACATGGGAAGTGAAACTGGTGAATCCAGAAGCTATAGTGGTTCAAATAGGAGGCGCCGGGGGCTCTGCTTTGCCAGAGCTCCACTGGACCTTCCTTCGTTCAGGCTTGGACTACTCGCTTCAGTCTATGAGCTTCAAGTCGCCCTCGGAACATACGGCCCGAACCCCTGGAGCTGAGACTCGCGGCGGGCGGTTTGCAGTTACGGCCGAGGTGGAGGGTGCCCACAACGGCATGGAGATCCAGATGCGGCATGTGGCAAAGAGCCCTTTTGGAGCTTGCTTCTCAGTTTCCAAATAGTGCATTCAACCCAGCGGAAGACCTTTGCACGCGACGGTGATGTCCCTGCAAGGGTGGAGAGAAGGTGCTAATGGTTTCCATTAGCCTCCGGTTAGCTGAGAACGTCAATGCCGGCAGCTCAAGCCGGATCTTCGCCTCGTTGCTCTCGCAGAAAAGACGACCTGAAGAGGTTGGCAATGCTTTTCTGACCCCGATCTTCTCAACTATGCCCTTGGATGGTCAAGGGGCGAGACTCCCAGAGGCGCCAGGAATCTGGCTGGGCAGTTGCAGCGCGGCAGTGATATGGTCCCCTTGAGTATCACAGAGGCTCCGTCCGTGTTCATTGCCAACCCTTACCTGGACCTTGCTCCTCCGGAAGCTTGGCAACTGGCAGTCAGATGCGGTGACCGAGTGAAAGCGATCCGTTTGCGGACGAGCGTTGCGTTGGGACAAGGACAAGTCCTACGTGCGGTACACCGGATCGACCACCGTGAGGGGCCCTGTGCAGCAGCTGATGGCGGAGTGTGCAGTGCTCCAGTGAGGCTCCGCCTTGTGAGCATGCTGATTGGGTTGTGCAGCACCAAGACGATCTTTTGCCTTCCGCTTGCTCGCTTGGTGGTTCTCTGAGAGTTTTTGGAGTGCTTGGGGTGCTTCAGGTGTTCATGCAGCCGGGATACCTCGGTTTCCAGCAGCTCGAGCAGTTCCGGTCCAGTGCCGTGCCTAGAGTTTTTCAGAAGCTTGGGTGAGGGTGACCTGATTGATCCACAGGTATCAGTGGATACCAACCCTCCAGACTGGCACCCGTGCGAGCCTAGCAACAGCCAGAGGTGCAGAGCATCGGAGGGTAGACGACACTGTTTGTCAGAGGCGAACAGCACCCCACCACTCGGCGTCTCCGAAGCTTGGGACAAGTCTTCTCCTCAGGATCGATTTTTCAGCAACCCAGCGTCACTCTGACTCTCGTTCTAGGTTTTTTCTCTGATACTAGGGCGGCCGAAAGCCAGAAGACAGGCTAATTGTGGAATGTTCCTGCCGCCCCTTTCCCACAAACCTCTACGGTTAATACCTGGCCATATCCGTCTGCGGTTGTATGATGTACATGCAACACAGGACCTTAGCCTTGCGACTCAAAAGTCCTGTCTCTGAGTCGGTGGGGGCGAAACAATCGCCTTGCGCAGGCATGGAGCTCGGAGAATGTCCAAATGTATAGTGTTGAGGTGTGTCCTGTTTGCTGTTCTGTGCATCTGAGGACCTGGAATTTCGTGAGGTTCAAATGATACAGATGATGAATGTTGATGCAAGTGCCGTTCCAAAGCTGACGGCATTCACAGGTGGACATCCCTCCGAGCATTTCATTGTGATGTCTTGCATCTTAGAAAGACTTCTGCTGGGTCAGTTGGAGGCATGGCGGGAAACGCATCCTGGCAGCAGCCTTGCACCCAGCCACCGCTCGCAAAGCTCCGCAGCGTTTCCGAAGCTTCGTGACCTGGGGCGGGGCTGAGGCTGAACATTTACTGGATCATTGCCTTGACACTTCTGGCACCGGACTAAGCTGTTGAAGGCGAAGCAACTCTCTTTTCATGGGGGCGCGTACTGATGAAGGTCCTGGCGTGCGTCATCTGCGGTGTATGGTGTCTTGGCGCCAAACGGAAGCCTACATGAGTATGCATGCATCTGCCGGCGATTTGATGAGGCTGCTCAGAGCACAGCTCTTTCACGAAGAGGCCACAATTTCTCATTGTCGTCTAGTACATGTCGGCAAGAACTCACATCTGCCCAGGAGTATCCAACTGGAATGTATGGATCTGTTCTCATCAGCTAGCTTTGCAGTGCTTTTCCTTCGCTTCATCTTCTTGCCATGTTGCTTTACTGCCGAGGTAGGGAGTTTCGGAGCAACGGTTGCTGTGAAGTTTCGGATTCTGAAGAAGACATGCCGTCACGTGCTCAGGGTGAGGGGTGAGCATTCCTTTCCCGTCCCATTCACCGATTCAGGTTCCAGCCATATGCAGCACATCCGGGGCAATGGCACATGCCAGCGCCATCTTACCTAGCACCCTTCCCAGAGCAGTGCAGACCTTAGGACTTCACTTTGAAGTACTCGCATTGGAACCGTTGGACTGACGGAATCGCGGGACGACAAGGTACATGCATGCTGCACCTGCGAGAGCTGGCTTTGGCAAACAGGACCGGCGGACAAGGGTTGGCCATTGCATGAGTGTTTCAGTTGCGCTGGAACAGGATCAAATCTACATCGCTTGAGGAAGAACTGCCACCCGTGCAGCTTCTTCCACCCTGTCCAGGCAAAGACCTCAGACAACTACCGCCATGCTCTTCGGAACACTCTGCACTCCGGACTGAGCTTGTGCACTTGCTTTCTCCGGCATATTTGATTCACGGCGTGTTGCTGGCGTTCTCGTGCAAGCCCCAACATAGCATGCACCACGGCTGAAGCGCGTCACTTTTTGCAGATTGCTGCGGTGTGTGTTGATCCGTTCGATCCGCCATTTTCGACGACTTGTTGAGCAACACGTGGCTCACTTTTCACGCATCGGGTTCGTATCGATACAAGTCCGCCTCGTCTTTCGTCGCTTGGCCAGACCCTCTCGAGGTGCCCAAGCAGCCGAGCCGGAGCACCCACGTTCGCATTTTTTTGAGAGACGCGCAGAGAGCGTGTGCGTCCGAGCTGGCAGAGCGGTGTCTTTCAGGACGTGGTGGTGCGCACTTTTGGCCTTTTCCGTCCCTTCGGGCACAACATGTAATGTGTGCGGCGTCGATTCTCACTCAAAACAACCTAGTGGATCATCAGGTTCTCATCCCACCACGCATTGGTTGACCTCAGGTGAGTATAGCGTCCTCAGCAGCACAAGAAGACTGAGCACGGTGAAAGGTGTGTGTGGCACTGTTCCACAATAGTGCAGAAGGGGGACAAGATAAGCCTCAGCATGACATTCCCACATAGCAGCTTTTACGGCTTTGCGATGCGGGCGCTCCGCTTCGTGCGGCATTCGGCTCTGTGTCCCAGCGGAACTGCCAGCTCGGAACTCAGCGCCAAACAGCAGACAGCTGCAGAGTATGCTCGAGACGTACGAGCCCTTCAGGACGTGGGACTTCGCATTTCTCATTGCCTTGCGCGGTCCCTGCCGCGAAGGTTGAGGTGCAAGACATCTTACACGTCTTTCATCACTTCAGTGAAGTTCAGGTTCGAGTCGGAGATTTGGTGTCTGATGGAGGCGGGGATTCGGAAGGTGAGGCATGCGATTGGAGAACGGCCTTGACTAGGATTCAGTGACGTCATCGTGAACTCCGCCAACGAAACGCTCGAAGGCCCGTTTGCTGCTCAGATGCTTTCGACGCTGTTTTTGGGCTTGCCGGTGACGTACATGCGAGGGACACGTGATTCTTGCTGGAGGCTTTTTCCATACTTCCCCATCGGTGTGTGCCACAGCACGTGTGTCTGTCATCAGACATCATGGGCAAGTCTTTATGCTGCCATCAGCAATGGTCTTAGGTGCAGAGTGTGAGAGTGGTGACGTGTACTACCAAGATGACGTGGACCGAAGCTGAGATGCAGTCTTGACCAATGCAGCTAGCTCGTTAATGTGGACAGCGGCATGAAGCATGTTCGGAATAGCTACTGTAGTTGCCAGTGAGGTTGACGGTCGAATCCACAAAGCTGGTGGCCCCGCATTAGGTCGCATCCTCACTTCATGTGCGACATTTCAAGTCTGTGTCTTTGTGTGCTGCCAGCTCTTGTGCACATCAAGTCCACGTCTAGCGCTGATGCAGCAGAACACATTTTGTCGCATGACAAGCTTGCCATGCTGACCACCTGCAGGTCGACTCTGCAGGCGTCTTCCGGAGTTGCTGGAGACCTTTGGTCCTGTGCTGAAGAGTTGGCTCTACTTACACTCCAAGATACTCCAAGGCCGCCGGAAGACGACCCAGATGGACCATTTCCAAGTCCCTACACGCAGCGATGCGAGATCGGAGGCGCTCGCTTGACAAAGGCGGCGTCCTGGATCTGCGTTGGAGTGTGCGCTGCAGAAACTGGGCTCGCAACGTCCGTTCTCAGAAGGTGCCCGAGGGCAGCGAGCTGGCAGCTGGCCCGCTTTAAACGAATTATCCTGCTGTTTTTTTCTGTGTTCGGCCCCATTTCGGAAAGGTCCAGCACTGCCAGTATGTTGCGCATGCTGTCGTGCCAATCTGGGCAAGATACTCAGAGGTGTCGAACATTTCGCGCAGACGCACTAGTAGATGCTTAGCTTTCGCGAAGGGGGCTGACACACTTCTCACAAGGCCGGAGATTTGGACTTGGAGGAGCAGAACCGACGGCTTAGCCTACTAAGAAAGGCTCATGTGCCAATCCATGCTAATCGACCACGTGCAATGTGCTGATGAGAGGCATACGCCTCTGCTTTTGCCGCTGCCGCAAGCTCGAGCAGTCCCGTGTTGGCTACCCAGTGCGTGTGTGTTTGATAATTTTAATCGCTTCGCGTCCGCCTCGGCTCCGCTGTGCTTGAAATCGAATTCGCGAATGTAAGCTAGCCCATCTTGGCCTCGCTGTAAGAAAAAAGGCATAAGCAAAAGGCAAGGAAAGGGATGGGGAAAGGAGGGGGGGGCCCGGAAGGGGGGCCCGCGGGAAACCCAACTTGTTTTTTCCTCGAGAGGTGGGGAAAAACGGATGACTTGTGGGGGGTCGAGGCTGGTTTTTAGGCCAGTTGCCAGCCAGCAAACAAGTAGGCAGGCAGGCACACAGGCAAGAAGGCAAGGAGGGCCAGCAGGGCAAGCCGGGCAAGCAAGCAAGCTAGGCAGGGAGCCTTCCTGTCTGCCAGCAAGGCGGCAAGCAGGCAAGGAAGGCGTGGGTTCCAGACTGATCATGCACCATCGCCTGACGACGGAGCGGAATGAAAGGATGGGATCCACTGCTATCGCCCAATGAAGCGCAATGAGGTTGCGTGCTTAAGAGCCGGGAGCAACCGACATGCGCTAGTGGCGGGGTGGTTCAAGAAATGGGATCGACAAGTGCCATCGCCCAGGGAGGGGGCGGCTGTCAGAAATGGGATCAGCCGCGACAACCTAACGAAGGGCTACTGGTACGTTTTAGGTTTGAGAAGTGCATCAACTGCCGAATGAGGGGGTGGGTTTGAGAAATTGGATCTAGAGGGCGGCTTTGAGAACTGGATCATGAGGAGGGAGCCGTGCCTAAGAAAGGGCATCAGCTGGCATTTGCCATCGCCTAGTGAGGGTCGGGGGCTGGTTAGCAACGCGTGCGCCATCGCCTACGGAAGGGTGGTGTAAGAAACAGGATCCAGAGCCGGCTGGCTGAAGAAGTTTGGTCAACCATCATCTAATTCGGGGCGGGTATAGTTACTGGCATATCCAGAGGCGAATGTCATGGCATCTGCGATGAGTCGCTCCGAAGCACGCTGGAAGTGTGTAAAAAATAGGACGTGAACGCAAACTACGCAGCATACCGTCGCTTGAGTAGGGTTTGTGAGCAGCCAGCAAGAAATCTGACAGAAGATACAAAAGCACCCCGATAAAAAGAGTGCTAGACTGTTGGGCTTCGTCCTGAGCTGCAGACGCTGGAGGCGACGCATCTGTTCGCCATTACTGGGGGCTGGTGCGAAGAGTGAAGCTCAGTTCGTGACGGGGGATCTGAACCGGATTCCGAACCTGTGGCAGAGGCAGTTCCCGATTGACCTGGCGGCGCGTTGTGCTAGCGAAGCAGCCAGGCGCTCAGGCAGAAAGAGCGGTAGAATGGTGACGTACAGCATGGTCGAGCTGAGCACGTTCAAAGCCAAAGTCTCAGGTCCTCCTGGAGTTGCGCAGCCCGACGTTAATGGACTTGGAGGTGATTGCCTTCATCGACCTGCGCAAGGACTGCATTGACCACTTGATCCACGAGGCCGGAGCGATGCTGTACCTCGCCACATCTCGCAAGCAGCTCGTGCAAGCTGTCCAGTTCAGCGGAAAGCTCAACCCGGTCAAGTGAGCAAGGCTGCGAGCTGGACTGAAGTGGTGAAAGCGAGGAAACTCCGAAGCACACGGTGCAATTGCCTAAATGATTCAAGCCTTTGATGCTGACAGATTGCTCAAGATCCATGCTTCAATAGCAGCTTTGCAGCCTCACGGAGCTCAGCTAGCTACCGGATAGCTTGAGTGCGTGGTTCTAATGGATCAGTGTTCCGATGGATCGGCGTGCAACAATCTGCCCTTGTAGTCTTTTGAAAGTGTACCGCCGGGACTCGGAGTCTTGTCAACAAGCGCTTAAGTACAAATTACAAACGCAGCGCTTGATGGAGTGGGCCGATTCTACGTCGACATGGCGAAGGCGTCAAACGCATGGCTATGATCGGGATATCGCACGCCCTTGGCTTTTGTTATTTGGACTATCTGTGCCTTGACCGTTTGATCTGTGGGTTTACCTCCTCCTTGGCTGTCATATCTGTATTTTCATAGGAGTCAGTAGTGCGGAAACTGCACCACTAGTGTCTGACTGTTTTGCATTGTCTGTGTTCTTGTAATCCCAACCCAGAAATTGAACCTCCCGAGAATTGTAGAACCAATCAAACAGCTTTAAACCCAAAGTCTTCAGAAGCGCAAACCCCTTACAACACCGAAATGCTGAATCCGAAGATTGTAAGCATTGTAAGCCCTAAGACCACCGTGAAATGCTCAAACCCTCAAGGCTCAAACCCTCAAGGCAAACAGCCGAACACGCAGATCCTAAACCCAACCGCAACATTCCATGTCTAACCGCAAGTTCCAACAGCCGAACCCTGAAAACCTTAAAGTCTAGCTGAGCAAATTTTAAATCTAAAAGCCCCATGCTCGCACAAACCCCCCTGACCTTGAGCGGAAGCCCGTAAGCACTAGATGCCTAAGCATCCCAAGCCCTGAACCCGATCTGCACAGTAAAGCCACAACCTAAATACCACAAACCATAATCTGCCCTAAATCATCAGAGTTGTAAATCCTCATGAATCCTGGCCCTAAGCCTGAAGCCCTAAGCTCACCGATTAAAACCCCCAAATCCTACACCCGTGATAACCCGAAGCACTGAATGCAAAAAAGCCTGCAAGCCCCCAACCCTGAACGATAAACTCCTCGGAATTTAAACCCTCGGCCGTGGATCCAAGACAGAACCTGATAACCCGAAACCCTACAGCCCGAAGCCTCAACACCAGGATCCACACTTGGTGATACTTACAAGTGGCAGATATCCGAAATGATGTAGGTGCAGCTTCTGGAAGCACTCATGCCTAAATGCTGAAACTGATCAAGTTCTAGATAGGCAGAACACCAAAGACGTAGATAGTCGAAAAGTTACGCTTCAGCTGCTCACGGCCCAAAGCTACGCTTCAGGAGCAGAGCTGTTTCAAGCAGGACGTTTGTCGCATCTGTAGTCTCCACATGTCTCTACGTCTCGTTGCAGAGGACTTCAGAGAGCTTGAGGAAGCCTTAGAGGAAGGTCTCTGGGAGGCGCCGCTGGGCTGGCCAGGCTTTGGCTCGGCTGAGTCTTCGTCTTCGTCTTGGCCAGGTGGAAGGCGACAACCTTTACTTCGCGGTGGAGGCTTCTGGTGGCCGCAATGCCCTCTGGAGGACTTCGGAATCACTGTTCCTTCTGGAGGCCAAAGATGCTTCTTCCGCAGGGGCAGCCGCACTCACAGCAGGCACAACTATCCATGTCACGCAGTGTGCACGAGCACTGAGGTAGTAGCCAGTGACGGTGGCGTGGGTTCAATCGCAGAGCTTGTGTGCCAAGCTGAGTGCAGACAGAGAAGCTTCGGAACTCGGCACTAATCGCCGTGTGTGCAGGCACCAGCTCAATGGTGGACACGGCTGTCAGGTCTGCCTGAGAGGGGTGGTTCCGTTGGAAGGCAAGGTGTGGTAAGGAAGGTCGTATAGAGACCGAGACCTGGATTCTCCCAGACTCCTCGCCCGAAAGTGGATGACAAGAGTTTCAGAAGCAGGATGTTTTGTGGTTTCTGAGCAGGTGACTCGCCTGACCATGGCTGTGATTTGTAAAGGCCTCGGGGCGAAGAGTGCTGCGGATGTTGGTAGCGCGGGTAACGACTCGTGACTCTGCAGTCTTCGGCATGACAATGAGGTGAAGCCATTGATATTGATTCAAACGGTACCTTCACTGCTCGAAGCTTATACACCGCTGCTCTGTACATGCACTTGCTAGCTTGAGTAACTTCGATCAGCTAGCTGGCAGTTCACGCTTTGCTGTTCTTGCAGGGTTTTAGCAGGCGTGTGAAGAGTCACACGATTCTGTTCGAGCAAGGTTTGCCAGGGAAAACCCTCCGATTCAGTGTTGACACTCCCTGGGGGGGCTCAAGTGTGGCATGAATCAAGTCGAACAATCTGAGTCTAAGCTGACTTGCAATTGAGGAACATACTACAGAGTGAAGAGTTTTGAGTGCTGTGCTGCTTGTACATTTGTGAGCCCCGTAACAGTCATGTCGGATGAGCCACAGGGAGCCTGTGTTGAATTTGCAAGCCCATCCTGCAGATCTCAAACACGCAGAGTGGGACAAAAAATCAAGGAATTCAGAAATAGTACATGTCAGGGTCCCGCAGATGACTGTCCTGCAGATTGGCCTGGCTTTTGACGAAGATTTTGAGGAGACGGCTCTCCTGGTGCGGCCATCAGACTTTCCCACTTTCCCAGTCTTCCTGCTCCTTCCCTTGTCATGCACCAGGCAGTCACAATCAGAAGGCCACGACCTGAACCAAGACTGCCGAGAGAGCCAGGCCTTACAGCTTCCTGCTCGCGAGGGTCGCCGCTTGTGCCTTGACGCGAGGCGATCCGCCAGAAGAGCCGGAGATGAATCGTCCTTAATCACTTGCTTGCGGGCCTTGCGTGCACTGCCTCCGCACAAGGCCAAAGCCCATTGCACTCCACGTGAATGGTCAGGTGCGCATCGACAGTTGTCGGCTTCGCCTGATTCATTCATCCATGGTGCACGCAGCAAGCGATCGCCAGGTCGCCGCTGAAGATGTTGGCGATCTGCCCGTGAAGATCGAATTCGATGTCCAGCTTTCTTGGGACGAGGCCACGCAGCTCGCGCTCCGCGTTCTGCGCTCCGACTCCATGTCTGGAGCGATATCTGCACTGCCCAGACAAGAACAGCGATTCTTCGACACCGGCTGTTCCCGCAAAGTCCCAAGCGTCGCGAGTTGGCCCAGTGCATTGCAAGGGTGCTGGCTGCAAGGCTCAGGGAAGCAGCGGCTTCCGAAGAGGCGCCCTGCGAGGTCGAGGCGATTGGGGGGGTTATGTTTGGGCTGAGCGCATCACGACGAGGGTTTTTTTGCTGACGAGGCGCACGTGACGACATCCACCGGCTTCTACACGACCGACATAGGATTTGACCTAGCGAAGGCACGCGCCGCCCCCAGTCATCCTCAGCCGAGTTTGCACAGCTGTGACCATCAGGCCGTCTTCCTGCGTGCTACCGGTACCGTGCGGGTGCGCCTGTTGCTGGGAGCCTTGATCCTTGATCCTTGTGCCTGCGCTCGCAGAACAGTGGAAGCCGTTCAGGTCCTTGGAGTGCCAAAGTCTGTGACTCCATCACAGCTCTACGAGCCTACGAGAAGATTATGTCGATCTTGATACAAATCTTGGAGCGAGACCATTGGGATTTGCGAGGGCAGCTCGCTTGGCGTAATTCGTTAACCAGTGGAGATGTCCTTGTCATCGGACTCACGACGATGGCCCGCTTTGGCTTGCAGACTCGGCCGCAGGCAGAACACAAAAGACAACTCCCAAAAACTCCCATATTTCAGCATAGCCATGACTTCGATAAATTCGCCTCAGTGACATCGCCTGCCCTTCCTGCACATGCCGTGCAGCCTGCTGCGCTCAGTCGGGTGCTGACATGATGTAGGAGTATGAATGACCCCCACGGTGCAGGCAGGAAGCCTTTCAGATGTGTGGAGTCTTGCAGACATACAGGTCATCATTGGTCTGCAGGCGTGGATCAGCAATGCCCTGTCTGCTGGAATCTTCTTTGCGAGCCAGTAGCTGACGCCTTAAGCCGTATCGCATCGAGTGTCACACGGTATTGGGGAAGCCACGAAAATGCGACTTGTCGTGTCGGAGGCATGGCCAGGTTGCCCTCACCACTTCTGCTTGGTGTGGGGCCTGATATCACGAAGTAGTATGTTCCGTCGTGTCTGTTGCTCAGATATGTGCTCTACGGACTCGTCGCAAGCCAAAGCCGATGTGCCCGTTGTGTCGTGCGGACAGCTGAGAACTGGACCCTGCGACAGAAGACTCTCCAGAAGCTGTGAGATCCGTATTGTAGCCATGCAGGCTCCGGCAAGCCAAGTCAGGCAAGCAGGAGAACTGCAGGCCGCGTGAGCACCGTCTGTGTGGGCTTTCTCCGGATTTTCGCTGTTACCCTTGGTTTGCTGGCTACGGCCACGAGAGATAAAGTTCAAAGGATATTTCCATCTCAGCAAGTGCCAGGTCCAGTTTTTGCAATGCTGAAGCAGAGTGTTCTTGCTGCAGTGGTAGCTGCACAGCGCATCCCGCAGGTCAATGCCGCCCACGCAGTCCTCATACGCAAGGCTTGGCATGGTCAGCCCGCTGAGTTGCAGACCTCGCTCCTCGCTCGTGAACTTCGTGAACTTCGTGAACTTTAACTTGAGCTGCTTTAGCTCCTGCTCCAAACCCGGTAAAGAAAGTCAACGCGATCCTGTGGCAGCCATCGTGCCCTTCTCTGAAACTCTTCCAGTGCATGCGAGAGTCTCTACATGGTGAGCGGACCAAAAGCCGATCTGCAAATAGGAGTCACCGATGTGAGTCTGTAGGTTGCCGTACGACGTGTCTGTGCGCGAGGCTGTTGGCTATTCCGCCTACGAGTCTCAGCGTCGCGAGACATGGGCACAGGCAGCAGATCTCGACGCTGCTGGAGGCAACACGCACTTCATGGGTCGCAGCGGCAAGAGCATGCTTCTCGTTGCGTCACACCAAAAGGATATCAAGCGCGACCTGTCGCTGCCAAGTACCTGGAGAAGTCAAACTGTTGTGTAGTCTCAATCACGCCTGCAGGTTTGGGAGGTCCTTTACCTCTCGTAGCTGGGGGAAGCGAGGCTCGCTTTTGTATCCAAGACTTTTTCACCGTTTTTGCATTGGCCCCAGGCATGGCAGCGACTGAGATTAGGTTCCCAGCAGGAGGCACGGTCCCAAGATTTGTGTCTGCGAGCTGTAAGCACTCGAGAATTTCAGCTAGCGGATGCTAAGCCAGCGGCTGCCCAAAGGAGCCGAAAATTTCCGATGTGCCGACATCAGCTTCCCACTGCGAGGTCATACTCGGACCAAAATACGGAGAGTTGCTCAGTCCTCAGCTGCTACTTGTCGTAGCTTCAAGGCTTCAAGAGCCCGTGCTATGAGATGTGTTGAACCAGACAGGTTGAGACGTTCGAAGGACAGAAAGGAGAGCAGTACGAGCCTCGGGGTGTCAGGTTGATTCGGTTCCATCTGACGACTTGCTTCTGTTGTCCCTGGCTTTTCCTGTTTTGCTCTCCTCGTCCTACCGTCTTTATCTCTCGTATTCGGACCTGTAAGTGCCAATACATGCCAATACCATCGGGTGCGACGAAGCCAAGCCCCTTGTAGCAGGGACCCCACGAGCCTCCACAGAGCCAAAGCCAAAGAGCATAGTCACAGTCGCATCGTGTGACGCAGCGTAGGTCGGTCCCTGCGCCGAGGTTCCGCCTTTGCGGTGCTGCTTCAGTGACAGACCCAGATGCAGCTTCTGCAACTGCCTTCCCCTGAAGCCACCGGCGAAGGCCCGCGCGCTTCGAAGTGGGCGCCAAAGGACGCGTTTGCCGCATCCTGCACGCGAATGACAGCTCCGCGGCGCGTTACTCAGTGGCTTTCAAGCACGTGTGGGTTGAGCATGGAACTCTGTTCTACGGAAGAGCATCGGCATGCCGTGCTGACATGCCTTAGAGCTATTTGCCACATCAAAGCGCTAGCGCCAGCTGCATGCCGGCAGGTCTTGGTGGAGGGGGGAGCTGCATGTCGGATCATCGAGCTCAGTGAGGACTCGGAGGCCCCACGCAACGCCGTGTCGAAAGCAAAGCGAAGGGCCAAGCGACGAAGCAGCTCCCCTGAGCTCATCGTATGTGGTTGTTGGTGCCAGGCGCAGAGCGGGGCCACTGGCTTAAAAAGTCAAGCAGCATCACCTTGGGCTTTTCTCCCCTTGCAAGGCAGAACCTTTGGTGATAGGGAAGCTTGAGGAGCTGGATGAGGAGGAGCTGGCAGCGACCCTATGTGGGGAAAGAAATCACAGGCTGCTGCCCAGCCTTTAAGGTTCTCGAAGAGGGTCCGCTGGCGGCAGCCTCCGTGCGGGGACACAGCCTGTTCGTAAGGCTTTGAGCACCGGACTTCCATGCTAACGGCCTTTGAGTCCTTGAGGACATTGTCCATATCCTCGGTGTGCTTGGACGCAACCTTCAGGTGAGGAGGGTTTGATCCCCCTGCCAGCGGCTTTTCCGTGCACTGAGGCAGTAAGGCAGCGGTGGATGATGACAGCAATGTTGCAGTTGCTGGACGAGGCCCTGTACCTTGTGAATTCGTGGCATTGCCCATCTTCACTGTTGCTTATCCAGGACCGGCGGAACCTGGAGAACTTGCAAGCAGATCGGCAAGGGCAGGAGCCTCCCCGCCTAAATTGGCCGAAATCCTTGCCAGCAGCGCAACGAACCCCGAGGCTCGAGTCGATGCTCGACGTGATGATGTCATACCGGCCGCTGCCTCGAATGCGAGCCAAGCGGCCAAGCAAGCGATGGATCAGCAGCAGCTTTGGCAAGGCAAATTATTCGGCAGATGGATACGCTGCTGTCGCAAGCATCAGAAACGGCCGGGGCTCTGGAACCCGGATGCGCGAACTTTTCATTCTCACTGATTCTGACTCTGACTCTACCCTGCGCTCTTCCAGGCGGAGCTGCTCTTGCCAAGAACAGACGGCGAACGTGAGGAGGATCTGTCAGACAGGGAATTCCAGGCGAAGGAGTAAGCTTCAAGCAAGTTGGATCTGGAGGACCCTGCGCTTCCGGTACCGGAATCGATGAGTTCTCCGCATGGAATCCAAGCGCCAATGAGGTGGACAATGCGTGCCAAGTTGCAACTTGTTGTGATTAGCACGCAGGGCTTCAGGGGCACAAGCAGCAACAGCAGGGGTGGAGGGCTTAGACAGGTAGCACAGCGACTTCTGGTTTTCCACAAGGCTGATAGAAGGCTGGGAGCACTGCCCGTGGAACGCGCAATACCAGCAGCACGGCCTGAAGAAGGTCACGGTCGCAGACCGGTTGATGGGTTGCAAAAATCTGGACCAAGTCGTCGGCCGTCGCGATGAGCCTAAGGATACAGTCTCCGAGATTATAAGGCCGAATGGAAGACGAAGAGTGTGTGGCCTTGGCCCACTTCACCCTTTACACGACACCACCTGCAGAATGCTAGACTATGCGAGGCGGTGACGATATGCAAAGGGCTCCGACACAAACATGTCGGCGATCCGATTGCGGGTATGGATGCCATGTGGAATTGGGACCGGAATCGTCAGTGAGCAGACAGCGGCCGCAGAGCTGCACGGTCGTCCCTCCACGGGGCCCATCCCAAGCTGGACTGCAGGATGAGGGGATGGGAAACGCAGAGCGACTGCGTTACCGAGAGTGGAGGGCGAGAGTTATACTGGGCCCGGGTTTTCTAACTGCCTTGGCAGCCTGGTGCACCCATCCTGGATAAATGAGCCGAGCTGGAACGCCGATTGAATGCCGCAACGATGGGAGAACCGTGTGAAGGGCGGAACCTGAGCAGCTGCAGCACTGTACCGTGAAGATGCTGGTCAGGCGGCTTCCACCTGTCAGTGATGAGGCCGAAAAAAGAGTTTCGCTCAATATCTGGTGTGCCCTCAAGTCCCCACAAAAGGTGCCCGCCACACCGGCAGACACAACCATCGTTACGGCGGTTGCTGCGCAGTCAGAGGAGCCATTTCCTTGGGAGAAGTGCCTGCATCTCCATGTCATAGCCGTCGTGGCCTTGCGCTTCTGCTTCAGGCTTCGAGGTTCGGGACGCTCAGAGCCCAGGGATCTCCTGCCTGCGGGAGCCTCCGTGTGGGGAATCATGAGTGCCGCTTCGTAGCCAGGCCGCGTCTTGTGGTCCCGAATACTAGTAACTAGTACGCTGTGGGCGGAGGTTTCTCAAGCCGAAGCTTTGCGCAGACGAGGCTGGGAGCAAGGCTCTCGGAGCATGACCCCTTCTGCTTTTCCCACCATGAGCAGGCCACCTTCTTCCCGCAGTCGGTGCCAGTGTTTCTGGCGTGCGGCTGCCAAGATCGAAGGGCAAGACTGTGCAGAGAAGCAGTTCTTGTGCGTCCAGCTAGAATCCACCGCGCGAGGCAGGCGCGCTACCTATGTCCAGAACGCCTCCAGCATTCCGGCGAAACAGGCTTGCTCTGCAGTAGCAATGGAACTTGAACCACTGCTGAAGCAGCCGGTCGAAGGAACCTGCCGCGAGCCGGCATTTTCCCTCGCAACGTTCAGGGAAATCAGGAGCAGGGCTTTCTTAACCCGCTGCATCAAACTTGAGAGAACCCTGGCCCACGCGCAGGGCACTCGTGGACGCTGAACAGCAGCGTAGTTGAGCGAGATCCGAAAGCTGGGCGCTTGCCTGGCATAGCTTGCACAAGGATAGAGCAAAGCTCTTTCAGCGAGGCTGTTGAGACAAGTGTGGCCAAGCCACGCGATTCGTGTGCCAGTTTGTCTGCCTCGAGAAAGACAACTGCTACTGACGTTTTAACGCAATCTCGTATACCGCATGCTTTGACCTGGTTGCTGTAATATTTGGGCTCAGGGCTGAATTATTCTTTGTACAGACCTTTGCCCACAAAAGCTGGAAGGCATCCGAAGGCTGTGCAAGTTTGCCGGGACTGCTATGTCACGGGAATGCCTTCGCTGGCAAGGCAATGGCTGAGACAACTTCTAGCTCTCGCAAGTCAAAGTTGCAGAAGGCAAGACTGTCTTTTTCTTTGCAAGCTGCGCTGACGATGTAAACCGGTGCGAGCTGGGCAACTAGAGGCTAGTGCGGAGGCTGTCCCAGTCTCAGACGATGTGCAGCACATGGGGTTGTGACGAGAATGCTTGCATGAATCTGAGGGCGAGGTCCCAGTCGGTAAAGGAGGGAGGCAGCGCAAAGTCTTGCGTGAAAGCATCCAGGCTCCAATTGCACGGCTGCTAACTTGAAGAAAGACAGCTCTATTGGTCGCGGTATGCTGTGCTGCACTAGACAGAGCTGCTGCATTTACTGTGCGCAGTTATCACCACGACCGCTGAGCGACTCCGTGCAAGCTCGTGCCCGTCGCTCAAGCTTCCTTCTCATCTCCTGTGTCAGGGCATCACAAAGCCCGCAATCCGACGTCTTGCTCGACGTGGTGGCGTCAAGCGCATAAGTGGCCTTATCTACGAGGACCCCTTTCCGCGGCGAAGATTCTTTCGAGATGCTTGCTTGCTTGCTTTCTCTGCTGGATCACCCAACCCTCAAACGGCACGACTTAGTCAACGTAGTCAGTGTTAGAGGCTTGGCATCAAACCAGCACTCGCATGTCTTGTAATCTGCACACTCTGAAACTGTCTCACAAGGTACAGACGGGTGTGGGGGGCAGAATCTCAACAAATTGCAGAATCAGCATGCCGTCGCCTCTGTGTTGCTTAAACTGTCAGGAGACTCGCGGTGTCTTGAAAACATTCTTGGAGAATGTTCTCCGTGATTCGACCGGGCCTCAACTTGGACACGCGTGAAGATGGTGGCGAATTCTCGAAATTCAAGGATCACTTACACAGAACATGCCCGCCGCAAGACCGTGACCGTGCGTCTTGCATCGTCTTTGCATTTTCAAACGTGATGCCGGTGCATTCAACCTTGTTGCGGCCAGGCCATGGACATTGTGTATGCGCTGAAACGCCAGGGCCGGACGATCTATGGCTTTGGCGGCTAGGCCGCCGCGACGCACTGTAAGCCCTGGAAACGCCCTACTTTCTACAAGGAGTGATGCATACCTGCATGGACCTTTATGTACACTGTTCTAGTCAAGCTTCGACTCCAAGATGCTGCTATGGGCAGACGATGAATGGATAGTACTGTCTCGCAGTGTTCAACTTGTCATTCAGCCCATCTTGTTTTAGACTCGTGGCCTGTTTGCTTTCTTGACATCTGCCGCAGCTAGAGAGGGCTGGGTGATATTGCCACGAGTCGTTGTGTAGCGCGAAGGTATTACTTGTAGTTGTTACTGTATCAGAGGGTTTTGATGCGAGGTTTTTGTGAGTCTTGCTTTAGTCCATCTCCGAAACATGATTTTTGCCTTCATGCAGGATTGGCAGCATCTTTCTGAGGGGATCCGTGACATTGCATTGCCGAATGCCCAATGCAAGTGTGATACCCGGAAGCGACGGTGTATGTGGTCAGTTTTTAACGCGAAGGAGTTGTATGAGCAACTTTCGGGTATTTCGCGAGATCCATGGCGATCCTGAGTTCCACAGCGAGGCGTTTATGTAGGGAATCGGTGCCAGGGCTGGGTGGAAGTAGGCGACCATGCAGGTGTAGCCCAAGCCTCGATAGCCAGCCGCCTCAATGCAATGCAACATAGTGCAACAAGGTGTTGCCGTTGCCCATGCCTGGTAGCCTGTGTAGAATGTAGAGTACGAGGACCAGCGAGCTCGCCCTGCTTGAGCATCACAGGGCAATTAATGGCTCGCTAACCTCCGTGGCGCCGGGGTCACGAGACCACTAGAGCTAAGGTCAGTCTATGGCTTCACGCCCTCATTCTGACGCACACGAGGAAAGGGTGAGCATTTTCATGTGTGGTCGCAGAAAAGCGACATGTGCTGACCGCCTCCGAAAAATGCTGCAGCACATGCAGACTCTGTTTTTGAACCCACGCCTAGCACGTCTGTTCGTGAGCGGTCTCTGTATCCTTTTCCATGGCATGAACCTGTCATGTTGTTCGCTCTTCCGGGCTCTTAAGTAACGTGCACCCTGCTGCTTGCTGCTTCGTCCCGCATCCCGAGGCGCCTCTAGTGTACTGGTACGTCCAGCTTCGAAGCTTCTTTGCGTCCAGTCGCATCCAGGCCAATGGCGGAGACGACTTCAAGCTCCCGAAAGACGAAGCTGCAGAAGGCCACGATGGATCTACTCTAGACGAGCTGCCAAGAGCTGTGTAGTGTGGTCATCGCTGCGTTTCCTGCAGGCTACTGTGAGGACCCGAGAACCAACTTCGCCAAGAATGGAATCAAGTGAGGAACCGTGTCGTTTCTATGCCGAGGCTGAAGAAGTTCCAGTGGGAAAGGCAGGCAATAAGCAGCGCCGCGTTCTTCGCGAAAGCATCCAGGACCTTGATTTACAGTGATCGTTTCAAGCCTGTCATGAAGACTTTGTGGAGTTGTGTTTCACCTCTCTACTGCAAGCGCAGGGAATCACAAAGCCAGCTATTCGGCGCCTGGCCCGGCGTGGTGGTGTGAAGCGCATTAGCGGACTCATCTACGAGGACATCGGATGCTAGCTGCTACGAGCCAGTGCCAGTGCCAGCACTGGCTTATGCCTTTTTGGAGTGATGGCATGCCGTGTCGAGACAGAATGACACGCTCCGTCAAGTGCCGCCGCCGTCTGCACAACTGCGCTTAGCACTTGCTTTTGTTCTATCGCTGTCTCGCTCTGACGCCCCGACCAGCACGACCAGGAGAACAGAAGACCCCAGGAGACACCCAGAGACCAGGAGACCGCACACCACCCAGACACTACCAGCAAAAACATACGGAGACTCCATACTCTTGCCGGGTTCGGGAGCACGGCCGCACCGCAATAAGAGCCGGGTGCGGGGACCGCCCGCTTCTGGCCCCACGGTTTAGCCAAGTCTCTTTACCTTTAATGATGGAACCCCATAGTGTGTACCATGCCGTGGGCGGAACTAGTTCACTGCCTGGAAGTCCGGCAAGAAGCCTGCAACGGCCCTGCATCAGCAAGTCCTTCTAATTCAGGGGGTGCTTGGCAATGTGCTCCACAGAAATATAGGATACCATTTTGTTTGGGATCTGTGCGCGAGAATGAAGGAGGTCGAGTTGAGGAAACAGTATTGCCGGCATTTCGATTTACACAGAGTGTGCTGTGTGGCGCTGTTTGGTGCATTTTGGTGCCACTTCTGCCTGGGCTACTGGCTCATTTCCGCTTCGATTTCGACTTTGAGCTCTTATTTCCGAGACGATCTTGTGCTTCTCAACTTTTCAAGCTGTGCTTTGGACCGGGCTGGAGGCCGGTGTTGAACTAGGCCGAGCTCAGCTGACGCAGCCCCAAGAACCTCACGGTACCGCTGGTGGGAGCTTAGGATAGTTGGGGCTCCACCCTGCGCCACAGTGTCGTCGCTTGTCTCCCTTTTTATTGTTCCGTTGCTGTCCGACCTCTGCACCGGCTCCTTGTGGTTGCGCGGCAAAGAGCTTGGAATATGGGAGACGTGGTCGGGAAGTCCAGAACAGTCATTTTTGCCTGACTCTCCTCTGGGAGAGACTGCATGTGTTCGTCCTTCGTTTCTTGAAGCCGCTTCTCGTGGCACCATTTAATCCTTGCACTCCAGTTCGCGCCCGAAGTGCTCACGATAATCCTAGCCCTGAAGGAAACCCGCGGTGTCCTGAAAACCTTCCTGGAGAACGTGCTGCGCGACTCGAGCTTCCCTCGGTCTTCTCGTGAAGTGACGCATCCGTGAACTCGAGAAGTGCTGAGGATTACCTACACGGAGCATGCGCGCCGCAAAACAGTTACGGCAGAAGCCTTACTTGGAACACGGTCAGACAAAGGATGTTGCTTTTTTGAAGTTGGGATTTCCTGCTCCCTCCGTCCCTCCCCGTGAAGGCGCCCAGGATTGACCAGATCGACTGTCAGTGGGGACGGGGCAGGCAAAGCAGCACGAAGCTGGGGTGGAACATTGGTGGCGAATGGTGGCGACCATTGGGTGAGGGGCAGGGGGACTGGACGCAGGGCTGTTTAGTGATTTCATTGATTCATGTTGTTTGTAGGCCTGAAAGCCGCGACCACTAGCCTGAGGCAATGGACATTGTCTATGCTCTGAAGCGCCAGGGTCGCACCATCTACGGCTTTGGTGGATAGCAGGCGCGGAGGAGCTGCTCCGGCATGCACTGACCGCCCGACTTCGTGAGGTGCACGTGCGTGGGTCTGAGAAGGCGTGGAGAAGTTTGACAGAGACAGGATGATCTGGCAAGCCTCCGTGCAAAGGCGCGGCTTAAAGGCAGACTGGAAGGAGCTTGACATCGCTACAAGCGTGCAGCTCTGAAGCTGCTCGTAGCGGTGTAGCAGTTCCACAGTCACATTGGACCGAGATAGTGTATGAGATAGTTCTGGCAACTTGTTCGTTCTGCATGTTCATCTTGCAAGCCCTCAGCTGCACTTCAACTTTGTCGCAAGGTCCTTTGTTTCACTGTTCTTCGTTTGCGTGAAAGCACGCACACAGAAACATGTGAATGCCATGAGGCGATTGTGGTAGAGACCTTCCTGTTCCGTGATTGAATGCTCACGCGCACAGTGCGTTGGCTTGTCATGGGGTCCGGGCAAGTGCAGCGCATACAAGATCAAGCCGAGATGGGGGAGGAGAGGAGAAACCGCGGTCTGTGTTTCGGCCTGCCCGCGGATGTACTTTGACTACGGGAGACTCTGCAGGGTTCTGTGTCTGAGGGACCCGACATGTTCGCCGTGGCCGTGGCTCTTTGTGCGAGACGATTTTGTCACCAGCCGGGCTTGCAAGTCCAGCAGCAACTACATGCTGGTATTGGCATCACGTAATTACGTATACCTCTCCAAATCTTGCCTTTAGCGCTCGTGAGCTCACTCGACTTTCTCGCTTCCGGACAGTCCGTGTCGAAGCCTTTGACTGCCTTTGACTACCTTCTGGGGATTTGCTTGCTGCTTCATGCGCGAATGTTCTCAAGGTAATGTGCGGAATCTTGGCGCTCTTTGGAGTTCAGGCCGCTTTGGGACCGGGCAGTCTTTGGCACTTGTTCTGTGACGCCGGGAAGGAAGCAGGTCCGCTCAGAAAGCAGGTCGTTGAGGCCGCAAAGCTCCTGCGCCAGCACCTAAGAAACTGTTTGTCAGAATGTCCCGCGTAGCTATGCGTAGCTGGATGCTGCCAGAGGACACAGAGGACCTGACTGGAGTGGAGTCTACTGCGAGGCAATTCCACGTCGAGTGCCGTGGAGCAACTGGCATTCACTCTCACTTCGTCACGTCTTGGCAAAGAAAGTGCCGTGTGCCAGGGATCCGCAATCATTGCCCACGAGCGCCTGGCCATTGTCGATCCTGACAGTGGAGATCAGCCCCTGTACAACGAGGCGAATGGTCGAGCAGCCTTGGGATGTATCTAGGTCAGTAAGTAAATGAGCAAGACACGCAGTCATATCTTCAACCCGCGATCTGCCAGTCATTGCATCGCGGAGCTTATGTGCGTGCTATTGCGTGCTGCATGTTGAAGCTTTTGTGAAGAAAAGAAGTCTAGTCGATGCGATTTCGGCGAGCTCTTGGACTCGAATGGTCCGAGTGAACATCGAAGTTTCCAAAATACTCGAACTTCCAGCATGTCCAGCCTGAGAATCAGATCTGCTGGAGCCTGAGAACAACCGACTGTGTTGAGTGTTTAGGGATAAGTGTTTAGGTGATGTTTATGTGGCCAAGCTATGTCATGACTGGTATGCGGCGAACAATCAATCACCAAAGTTGTTGCAGACGTTTTGGGTGTGAATGGCGCATCTCGCTGCAGTTCTATTGAATCTATTGATTTCTTCTGCCACACTTGTAATAGTTCGTGAAAACCCAAGCAAGGCACCCCTCAGAAAGCCCTTGTGAAACCTAACATACTTCTCGAAGCAACCCTTAAGCTTCTGAAGCTTGCCAGACCTCAAGACAAACAGCTGCCACCAATTAGATCCCGTATCAAGAGCTGACACCGCCCGTGTCATGTATAAACCCCTGCAGAACTCCGGTCAGCCTCGCCCAGCCCGATCTGTGGTCTCTCATGGAACGGATCTCGAGTTGTCACTGCGATCGGTAGGATGCGAAGTAAGACCCAGCACAATCTTGTATGACCCCTTACACGACCCTGTACAAAGCGTATGCCTGAACGTTGAAACTTCTTGTTAGAAACTGTTTCAAGCCGAAGCCCAGTGTTGGACACTGAGAAAGCAATCAACAAGTTGTATTGAAACTGTACGAAGTCTCGCCAGTACCGTTGTGCAGGTTTGTTGCAACTCTTCTGCACCTCGTTCAAGCCATCAAAATCCGTAAACAGCTCAAGCAGGAATCCCTGTACTTCCCTCGGAAACCATGCGAAGCCGTTATCAAAACCCTGACATACCCTGACACACACGGGGAAGCCCTAGAGTGCAACCAATTCCACAGCACAAAACGCCAAATACCCCAAATCGGAAGCGTGACGCGTACATTATGCCGCTAGAAGAAAATTCCGTCCCCAGGAAGCATGGTCGTGATAGAACTTGTTCGGAAGGCGAAAGACATTGTTTTGGGTGTGAACGGCGAGATCTACAATTACGAAGACCTGCAGAAGGGTTTGGAGGCTCGGCCTCATGCCTTTTTCAGGCTCCCTCGCTGATGAACTGGTCTGACAGGCTCGTGCTCCCGGCAAGCATCGCTTCCTCACGAAGAGCGACTGTGAGGTGGACTAGCGAATGCAGGCTTTTGTCGCTGCGAAGTTCTCGTGTTAGCTTCTGAACAGGTCCTGCTCCACCTGTATGCCGAGGTACCTCTCTGATTCGGGTATATAGGTTGCCATCTCTCTAAAGAAGCGCGTCGCGGACATTGAAAATGACTTGATGACTAGCCTGGAGGATGGCATCGACTTCATGTCGAAGAACGAGGCTACCCATTTGACCACGTCTTGCGGTTCCGTGCGTGCTCCGACAGTGCTCAGGTGTGCGGTATGTATGCCTTTGCGATCTGGGACAAGAAGAAGCAATCGTGCCTCACAAGAAGAACAGTAGTGCACACAGAAGTGGCATCAGCTGATATTGCTTGCCCAGCCGGCCTCTAATTGGATGTGAAAGTGCAGCGATCGAGTCCTGATTTTATACACTCCGGCCAGTCATCCATCTTCATCGAATCTTCACTGTGTCCCTGATCGGTTTCATAACCAGTCACCGTCCCCGCTGCCATAAGCATCGCCACCACCACCACCAGTACTGTATAGCATCACCACGGGCCAGACCACCACCACCACCACCGCCGCCGCCGCCACCGCCACCGCCGCCACCACCACCACCACCACCACCACCACCACCACCACCAACAACCACGACGGCGACGACGACCACGACGACAACGACAACGGCCACGACTACGACAACGGCAACACCAACACCAAGGACAACGGCAACACCAAGACCGACACCGACTCCGACACGACACCAACACCAGCAGCAAAGACGACAACAACAACAACAACAACAACAACAACAACAACAACAGCACACCAACCACAACAGTGCGACATCAACAACCAGGCCGAAAACAACAACCACCATCGTATCTCTCCGTCCTTCCGTTCCGTTTCGCCAGCAATGCCGAAGAACATGGTGTTACTCACTACCCCGGGTATATTCGGAGCATGAGATCACCTTGTAGAGGCAGTTCTCAGTGGTGTTTCTTGCAATTTCCTCTGTCTCTGTGTGATCGAGTGCGCATGTCCGATCATTTGTGTTTGGAAGGTACGTTGTCGCGCGCGACCCTGTTGGAATCATACCATTGTACATTGGCTGGCTCATGTCTCAGCTGCTGTGACAAACCCATATCACAGCAGAGCACACCCCCGTCTCTCGTTGTGTTGCAGGGGGGCCGATGGATCTGTGCAAGTCGCGAGCGAGCTTAAGGCCCTGCACAAGGCCCAAACATGCGGATGTTCAGACGGTTCGTGGCAGTGCACAGGACATGCGGTTGGAAACGTGTTCCGGTCAGAGGCTTTTCGGACCTCTTTCCACACTCGCAGCCGACAGAGGACCTCAAGCAAATCAGTCAGTGTCATTCAAGATTTAGCACTCGAGCCATGCGGAAGCAGTAAATGACCTAATGCAAGACAGTCTCCCACACTCAAGCAGGCTAACGCTTCAGAAGAGCAGTGCTGTAGCAACAGACCGGTCCAGTCAGAAAGCACGTAGATGATGGCATGGCAGCAGCCTAGTCTACGACTCAGATGGAAATCGTGCTCAATCGAGAGAGAACTCTAGGAAGTTCTTGCGCATTCGCAGGTGCCACAGTGAGCCACAGTGTGGTATGGGCAACAGCAGCTGTCAGTCATGCGCAGTAGATCCTGCCTCAGACAAGTTTGACAACGGAGAGAAGTAGCCGGGTTAAGCATCCTGGTTCAATCCTCGGTCAGGCAGACTGCGACAAAAGCCCAGCAAAGCCGTGCGCAGCACCAGTGCTCCAAAGCTGCTTGGACGTTCCAACCTGTTAGTCCGACTGCAGCAGTCACGCTCCCGGGCTCGGTACCAATCCTGTGAGACGGGATGGGTAGCCACGGATGCTGTTCTGTGCTTTCTGTTTTATGGTGAACATACAACTGATAAGTCAGCGTCGCCACACAGCTGAGCTGCTCTTGGCTTTTGGACTTTCTGGTGTCGTGAGATCTGCCTTCCAAGCTAAGGCAAGCCTTTGGGAAGCCAGGCAGGAGCCGCACTCCTTCAGCTTTCACTTTTAGGTCTAGCGACCCGCCGTACAAAGTGCTTGCTCACTTGTAGGTCTCCTCGCCGAGCTTGACGTGGGTGGTAGCCTCAGAGTGGATCAGAGTGGGATGGGCGGCGGGAGGATGCAGGAGTGCTGCTTGCTGTGCACTGTACGCTTTTCGCAGGAGTTTAGCCCGCTTGGCCTTGATGCGGCCACGTTGCAGCACTTCGTCCTGGCCTCAGTGGGGCAGAAGACCCGACTTAGAAAAGGTTCAGACGGCGCTACTGTGCTCCTCGGGAGTTTTTGAGCCCACGCTGAAGAGAACAGCTTTGGAAGGTCTCGGTGGGCTCTGATGAACAGATCGGTTTGCTTTCACGGGTGTTCAGAGGGCAGGTTCCTTTACAGTCTTGACTTCGGGCTCTCGCAAGCTGTCGGCCAGCCTCCCGAAGAGGTATGTTTGATACTTCGCGGCCATGTCGCTGCGGGACGGCCTTGGGGCCCTGAGGCTGTTCAGCTGTTGTCCCCAAGCTTCAACGAGAGCGGCGGACGAAAGGCGTATACCGCTGCTCGCACTGCTCCGGGCCCAACTTAGACTTCTCGTGCAGGGGGAGGTGCTGAGGAACTTTGTCAAGAGCATATCAGCTGCTTACCGACAAACTGGGTTCCACAACTTTATGCACGCCCCCGGCTGAGATGCCTTGTCAGTTTGCATGTCCATGGTCGAAGTGCGCCACCCTCGATGCGAATCGTGGTACGAGGCCGTCGACACGCTGCAAGCGATGAGATGGCAATGTGCCGTTGCTTAGACTTGACACTGATGCTCAGAGCACTGACTTGCAGGGTTCAGCAATCATGCTGCAGATGGTGCAGGCAGCCAGCCGCCTTGGGACAAAAACCTGCAACATTACCAGCATTTTGCACTTCTCATTGCCGCTGTTGCTGTCCGAACCTCAATGTGCAAGGATCCGCGTACTCGCTTGGAGTCTCGTGTTCGTGGACCCGGGCCGAGGTTGATGTTGGCCACCCTGGCTTCGATAACGCCTTCCTCGTTGATTCGGGTGATCCCATTGCCTCATGCTGGGCCCCCGGAAAAGACAGTCATACAATATCACACAGTGGTTTTCTTTCACATCGCGGGAAGGCTACAATGACATGTCTCCGTTGGAGTCAGCTTGACACGTTTGTGCTGAACGGCGTGTGGCTGGCATTTATCTGCCTTGCCTCCTGCCAGGAACATGCACAGTAGCAAGCTTTTCGAGATTCTGAAGAAGGATAGCCTGTTGCAGCATGACAGCGTGGCAGCACATCGATGGCTTGTGGAATGAGATACATCCGGTTCAGGATGGACACAATGTTCTCGGCCACATCCCAAGTGAGGCAAGGCCTGGGGAGGTTTCAGTCGCATCTGCAGCAAAAGGTTTCAAAGCTACAGCTACTGTTACAATCTAGATTGATGCTGAATGCAATCGCCAGGAATTCCGCGAGATGCGAAGGCTCACGATAGACCTCATTCTCCACACAGACAAGTACTGCTAGGCACCAAGTCGGCATGGACATTGAAATTCGGAGCACAGCAATCACCATGTGACGCGGCGGTTCGGGTCCCATGCATGAACCGCTTGTAGGGAGATCTCTGCCTTCCCTCGAGCTTCCGCATACCAGTGGGTATGCTGCTCACACTCACTGATCACTTGACGGGTTCGCCTGCGCACTTGCTTTTGAACCCAAACATGGCACCGGTCGTTCATCGTCAACATGGATGCAGTGACATCGGAAAGTGGGCCAAGGTCACAGAGATGTAGTTGAAGACATTCGCATCCTGGCACGACAAGGTGCGCAAATCCAAGCAACGCTAGTTGTGGCTTGAAGATTCATGCGCGATGGCATTCTGTCATGCAGGCTACGCACCAAAGAGTGCAGATCCTTCGTCCGAAGAAGGCGATTTCTGCAGCTTCTCCCCTGTACAACGGTTTTACGGGTAGCTGTTTTGGAAGGTGCCGCCATCCTGCAGGCCACGCCCCGCCCTGCACCTTTCTTGACTGTCACTTCTTCCTCTTGACTGTCAGACTGAGTTAGACTTGCTACGGATTTATGTGTCAGGTAGTCATGCGGGCCATGCTGTTGACCGCAGACCTCTCCAATCAGTGCAGGCTAGTCTGGAGGGAGGCATTTCTCTCAGAACATTGTCTGTACCCCGCAGGTCGCTGGACACCGCCAACGCCTGGGCTGCAATGTTGCAACAAGAGCTAGGCCAGGCTCCCTTAAAGCGAGAGCTTGCAGGCTCATGGCAGTGCAGACTTTAGATTTTAGACGTCACAGGCCTTCAAGACGAGCAAGAAAGGGAGCTGGGCCTGCAGGCCCCTTGTGGCCCCTTGTGGCCCCTTGTGGCCCTGGCTTTCGGGCAGTGGCACAACTCTGCAATGTGCAATGAAATGTCTTCAGGTTTTGCCACTGAATCGCTGGAAGTGGCTTGGCAAACTGGGAGCTGGGAGCACGAAAGCGGTGGCTGGGCCCACCCTGATTGAGGCCTGCGTTAGCCGACCTTCAGCTCCATCTGGGTACGACTCGCACTGGGCCGGCTCCCAAGCAGCGGCTGCGAGCGGCCCGCTGCCGCCTGCTACAGCATGTCCCCCTGTCTCAGCATTGTCGCGGCAAGTCGCAGAAAGGCAGAACCAACGAGCTTGATCCAACTGAGACGATGCAACGTTGAGCGATAGTGAGTGCACCAGCGGCCGATTCTATCGTCTGCGTCGATTCTTCTCCCCGGTTTGGGTTTGAACTGAGAGCCGGCACTTGTCGTGGAAGGTGTAATCAACTTTGCGTGTTAAGTGACTGCTCGTATTTCTTGACGGGCACATACCCTTTTATCATGAATGACTTTTCTTGAGGAGTTCTCTGATTGTAGGCCATTGTATGACCACCCCTTCAATCAAAGTGATGTTGTCTGGAATAGGCAGTTTTGTATTGTTGAGAGTGGGCATGATTTTTAATGTCTGACTGATTTCGGAGAGGTATTGTTTTGGTATTCAGCTTGTCGACGAAAGCCACACTGAACCCGCTGAAGGCCCCTTCTCGGAGCTTGGGTTCGGGTTTTTCCTGCGCTGGCACCAGCAACTTGGCTTGCTGCCAGACGTATGCGCGCTGTGATGCTGTGTTGGTCTGACGACACAGCCTTGATGCACGGCTGCTCTGCAGAATGAGCTCCCAGGCCACGATGCAGCTCTCGAAAAATGGGACCAGCGAGCGGCCTACTCTCCGCTGCTAGGGCTTCGGGAATGGAGACAGGAAAGCAGGTTACAGAATTCTGCTGGAGAATCGTAGCTCAAGCTTAAGCACACGATGGCATGTGACCGATTGAAGGCTTGGAAGATGTGAAACGTGACAGGTTGGGCAGAAGCGTGCATGACTCAAAACGAGGCCGGGCAGCTGAATCAGTCAGCTCGCTTAGCTTTAGCTTCTAGTTTGTGCAGGCTAGCGCAGGTACGTAGAGCGCCGACATTCCCTGCAGTGAATCTACAGAGAAGCTGCCCTCAATGTCAAGGAACAACCTTTTTGCTCGGCCGCCGTTCTTTAGCGGCGACAACTGGTTTGTGAGAGCTGGCAGGTCGAATTTGCATCTGCATCAGATGAACGAGCCAAAAAGACCGGCTCTTAATTCCAGCGCGCTATGGTCAGAGGGTCGGGCTGATGTATGCACCGTTTTTGTGACGGCACATGTCGCAAGATTGAGGATAGAGGCCATGCTCGACCCAGCGTGTCTTGGCAACGAACATGTAGGGTCAGCAGTTCGGTGCAGTGTCAAGAGCTGAGGCGCCCGGCTCCTACACTTGGCGAGGCCACGAAAGGACACCTGGTCGTTACATGTCACCGTACGGTCCAGAAATCTCAGAAAGCTGTGCACTGCAGGACATGATCGTTTCGGGTACTTGGCGGCGGCGAGGCCATACATCGGGAGGTGCCCGCCGAATTGTCCTTGGTGCACGAACTGACTGTGGCAGCAGCCCGAAACAAGGACTGAGAGCCAGTCTAGAAGTAAGACTTACGTAAAGAGGAGGTTGCCTGTGGCTCCCTTGCCTGGCAGCATCTCACGACTCCGCCTGACAGAATTTGGCGATCACTGGTGCTTGTGCACTACCCAAGCTGGAGACGTGCAGCGGCATCGGTGCAAGAGAACGCGAAATGAAGTTGAGGCAGAAACCGATCCGATGTCGAGGCTCAACTAGTGTCCCTTCTGTTCCGAAGTTGGAGTGGCAGAGACAGACAGCCGGGAAAAGCCCGCAATTTTTCGGGGTCACAAGCAGAGGAACCATGATGATGCAGCACTGCGAAGGGACTTAGCGAGGCCGCGCAAGTGTGAGGTGTGCGAGATTTTACCCAACGCTCAATGGCTCCACAGAATGTGGTTTGCTGCCATCTGCGACAAGATCGATTTCTGAACCAGCTCAGACGTGCACAATGAGTTCTATCTACAAATCATGGTCGGAGGCTGCAAAGCGCGGTCGTGTGATGTCGTACATTCACCATAACAGGATAAGCTGAACAGGTTGACTTCGCTGTCTCATGCAGCTTTGACGCCTCTGCTTGATCGCTTGATTTCACTTGATTTGCTTGATGCTGCAAGCAGCATGTGGTGACTAGTCGGCATTTGCAACATCTCGCCAGGCAGCAGGTGCCTGCATCGACCCTGAGCAGCTTGAACACCGCCAGTCTCAGCAGCGGCAGTGCTACTACGCTCCTTGGCATCATTCGCTGCAAGGAAACCGTTCGTAGAGTGGGACAGGGCTGTCCATCCAAGGTCCCAGCCAGAAACTGCAGCCTCGCCGTTGCTCGCCGCAAGAGCTTGCAGAATTGACGGCACAGACGTAAGCCGTGGCCCAGGACTAACCAGCAGCCTCCTCCACTGGTTCGCGAGGCCGCACGGCCCAGCAGTTTGGGAGTATGGTGTGGCCACATGTCACAGGTCCGCCGCTGGAAGGAGGGCAAAGGCATGCAGACAAACAAGGTGCGATTGGCGCTTGTCTACGTGTAGACTTTTTGCAGCGTCCTGGCAGAGCGCGCTAGATCCGATAGATGTCAGTGGTACTGACTGCAGGAGTTCCCGTCGTCACGAGCCCAGTCTGCCAGAGCTTGTGCCGTGGTCGGCTACAAAAACCTGTGGAAAGGTCAAGCAAAGGAAGAGAACTGGTGTTGCTGTTCGTCTGGCCAGTTTGTCTGTTTGCCAGAGCTTCTTCGTCCGTTCCGACTGAGCGTCAAGTGCTGTTGTGGTCTGCACCCTGCCCACCGGCTGGCAGGTACGTGCTGTCTGACCCAAACAGCAACGGAAAGCCTTTGGCTTGGCCCAACACTGGTAGAGCCGTCTCGGCCTTTGGAAAGCTTTGAGGCCGCTTCCTTTCCAATTCGTCGACCGGAACAGTGCATCCTTGTCAGAGTCTGCTGCCGAGACCTTAGCCATAGCCTAATCACCAGTAACCACGCCTGTGACTCGTGATTGCGCAGGCTGCAGATGTGGCCGTAGCGAAAGGTGTGCGAGCTGCATCAGATGACGCAGCTTGGAAGTACATTTTTGAGATCTGTCGCATGTTACTCATCCTTCTCGTGCTTCCTACTAGGTGCAATATGATCGCAAGCGTCGAATGAGCTGCTTTGATGGATCACCTGGAGGACGCAGCGACAGTGACTAACAGTTGGGTTCGGTCCAGGCACCTTGCAAAGCGCAAACTCTGTGTATCCTGACCTCAACGGCCACTTCTGTCAAATGTTTTTTTTGTTGAAATTTGACTCTTCGACATGTGATTAGGAACGGCTGCGGTATGCTGGACCACGAGCTTGCATGGTTGCATTGTCAAGACAGGGCGGTCCTAAACTCCGTTTTGTTATGTTGTACTGTACGTATGTATGCATATATATATATATATATATATATATGAGGAAAGCAGCTGAGTAGGTAGGCACTGAACATGACATTCAAGCTTTTGATTGCGTGATGTGGGCTCCAGCTGGGTACTGAAGCTGGGGCCTAGACTGAGGATGTGAAGTGACGATAACGGCAGGAGGGACCGATCTGCCAACCCAGGATCGCAGGAGAGAGAGCTGGAATCACAGGACATGGATCTTGCAGGCCCAGGCTTGTGAGCTGCGCTGGCAGATCTGCGCAGCCAAACTGGCCTCGTGAGCCAGAATGACAGCCAGGAACCGGGCTAGCAGCCAGAACGAAAGCCTTCGGAGCTTCGTAGCCAGACACTAGCCAGACGCAGACCAGAGACTGGGTGGCAGAAGACACCCGCAATCGCAGAAAGAGTGGCGCCAAAGCGCCGACCAAGAGCATGCAAGCGGACTAGAAGCAAGCAGGCGATTGAAGTGTTCATAAACATCGACCCGGCACTGCACCATTGGACCTTGGATGGAGACTTTTCAGAATGGCAGCATCCGGATGGGCCTCGCAACACTTAAGAAAATAATCGCCGTCCGGGCCCTAGCATTCTGAAATAATTTCTCCTCGATGTGTCGGTATACAGGAGTTCTAGTCGCCAAAGCCTTGTGGAGTAGGGGATAGAGCATGTCCACCCGTCAGTTCTTGTGAAGCTGGGCAAAGCCAGCTGGCGAACTCCGTCGCCGGGAGGTTTCAACCAAAAACAGCTCATGCACGGGTCGTTGCTGTGCCCCCGCAAAGTTTGCGACTGATCTCACAATCTGACTGATGAAGAAGCTGGTGGTCCACAAGACTGAGTCAGGCAACTGCACTGAGCTACGGGCAGCTGAGAGACGGCGCTCCGCGTAGTGGAAGTGAAGATGCTGTTCATGGCTGTACTAATGTGACGGCGGCACTGCGCCACTACGCCACTGACCCGAAACGCACAATGGCTTGTGCGAACTGTGACAGCCTTGACTGGGGCAGCTCCAAGAGCTTCTTCTCTTGCAGGAGCAGCCAAGACTGAAAGGATTCGAACGATGTCAAACGCAAGACGCAGGCTTTACCAGATTGTACGGTGGGAAAATGGAGAAATCGCACATTCTCTCTCCTGCAGAAACAAGTTTGCTTACGATGACTCTGCCCGGACGTTCGCTGCGTACATGATGTATTGGGAGAAGACACAATAAGCTAAATTGCGTGAAGAGCTTTGGGAGAAGTACCCGCGGGATGCCCGTGCACTGACCGCCACGCCCGAGCTAAGGAACGCGCTTCATTGGCCAATTGAGTTGCGATTCTTTGTGGACCTCAGTTATGTTAGGTTTTAGTCATGAGTCCGTCAGATCAAACCAGACGAGGTTTGCATCCATGAGCCTGTTGCTGTGGTCCGTTTGTGATAAAAAAAACAGCAAGGACTGGCTGTAGAGTGCTGCGTTGGCTGCTAAGCTAGTCTTGTAGCCGTTAGTAGTGCTCCATAGATTGATGAGAGAAGTCCGCGAGGCAAAGACCGGAACTATCGCGAACAGAAACTACAAAGCGATGAGAATTTCCATATGCGTTTTTGTAAATCTGCTGGAAAACAAGACTAAGCTTGTAACGTCCATATGTCTTCCAGTAATGCGCATGAAAAATCAGGCATCGAATCTGGTAAAACATGCTTGTAACATCCATATGTGTCCTTGCAAATCTGCTTTATCATGTAGGACAGATGTTCCAAACCCAGCGATCAGCTGATGCCGCCGGGCCCTAGGCAGATGCTTCGAGATTTCTCCTGTCTTTGCTGCGTGATGTCAGGTCAGCACCATCGTGGAGCCTGGTCGATTTGACGATGTTTTGTCCTCGCTTCTACACGGCAACATAGTTGCGGGCCTACTGGAAGTTCTGAATGCGCGATGGCCTGCACTCAACAACTCAACAAGCTCATGGAGTGAGACGGTGATGTCCGCTTGGGGTTAGTGAGGTCATTCCCCACACCGATCATGGAACAGGCAGCAGTGGCTTAGCGGCACAGTTCTGGAGATCGTCGCATGGCCTCCAAAAGATTCAGAATCCAAGGTCCGATGATGCCACTTCATCCTGGCCGTGCTTCGCGAACTTCTCAAGTCGTCTCAGCGCCTTGGCCGAACTCTTTACAGCACCACGGTTTGCCACACGGCCGCAGCTGTTCTTGTTATGCCAGGAAATCTCGGCGGCAACTCGTGATCGCATCTCCCCTGGCATATCAGATATGTGCCCAACGACCAGCGAAATGGAGGTAATGCGTCGCATGTAAAAGAGCTCTCAGGTGCTATGATGGCCGCGTCCGTATTTGGTGTGTGTTGCTGGCATGTTCTTCCGGCATCACCCTACTCGCAACCCACAAACAAGGCTGCTTTCTCATGCCATGCATTAGTTTGTGAAGAGGTTGCTGAGAGGGGACCACTCCAACACCTGACATGGAGGCCATCAGTTGGATCAGGATTACCATGTCGTGCCTCAACTGCGAGACCTTTCCAAACCTGCTTGCAGGCAACTGACGGCATGGAGAGCGGCATCCAGAATACATCTTGCAGTCTTGTCTTTTCAGGACTTTTCAGGACTAGTATCAAGTGGCGGCGGGCTTGGTCCGCCGCCTTCATGAAGATCCTAGAGCAAGAGGTTGAGATCATCCCAGCCTGCATTAGGTCACTCAGAAATTCCACTCGCCTATCCTTTTTTGAATATGGTCTTGCTGACATCGGTCCATCGTGGATCGTACTGTGACGGTCATGCTTCGTCATGTGCGGGTCCACAGCCCTGCTTTCGTTGCTGCTTAGGGCAGTACATGCCAATCAATCATGAGATCATGCGAAAGTAAGCCAATACCACGTGTGAGTTTGTCAAACGTGGCCGAGTCAGATGAAAGGGCAGTGGACAGATTCGCAAAGCGAATCAGTCATTGCCAGCACAAGTGTAGGTCGTGTGTCTCTGCGTGGCGACAAGGACACCGACACGGACGCAGACAAACACAGATGCAGACCTAGACAGAGAAGCAGATCCTGATGCAGCAGGCAGACAGACAGACAGTAGACCGACCGACAGACAGACAGTCTGACCGTTTCACAGACAGACAGGCAGGCAGAGAGACGGAGAGACAGAATCCTTGTACAGCCCAGCCCAATGTGAGCGAGCGAGACACAGGCAGGCAGAGAGAGAGAGAGAGAGATGGACAGAGAGAACCTGCATGGTATCACTGCAAGCCAAGCTGACCTGCCGGAAGCTTGATGGCCGATGTCGCGGGGATGGGGTAGCCAACTCCGCCACACCCGAACCCAGTGGCGAGCAACTTCGTACAATGCAGGTCGGGGGGAAGACGACCAGTACCTTGACGACCCGGTGGAGACTGCTAGTGAGCTAGGAGTCCCAGCTAAGAGTACGGGGGACAGCGACCTGGACATGCCCACGTCTCACAACGAAGACTCGCTGAGCGAACGTAGCCATAGGCGTTGTCGTATGCACGCTGCTGCCTTCTATATTCTATGGCCCACATGGGCACTACTGAGCTGCTTCTCCGAGGGGGGAATGACCAGTCATATTCGTTTACGTTATGCTTGAATGTCATGCAAAGAAGCAATGCCCGAGAGTTTCAACGTACAGCAATGTGCTAGGCAAAGCAATACAGGAGGATTTTTCAGCGTGGCAGTTTTTGTGACAATATGGGGGACAGTCCTCTCCTCTCCATCTCCCGTACAGCGGAGCCTCCAGTGGAAAAATTCCTTGGAGGGTGGGTCGACACCCGTCAATGAACAGCGGGTGTGCATTCGCACGTGAAGGGGGTGGCTGGGCCGCTGCCTTTTTCTTACCCTGTCGAGAGAGAGAGACTGAAAAAACCATATCTCTTTACGGACATGTCTGACTTCTTTCCCCCACAAAGTCCAACAACAGTGCTGCACCGTTCGGTGCGGGGAGCCTCGACAGCTCCCTCAACCCCGGAGAACAGAACAGAACTGGCGAAAGAAAGAAAGAAAGAAAGAAAGAAACAGTTTGGCTCAATCGGGGGGCACTCGAGGGCAGCCCTTCGGACCTGTCTGTTCGCAGCAGGTCTGTTGGGTGGACGTCCCTGCGAGTGGGGGTAGGCTTGAGTCCTCCCCTGAAGGCGCTGGCTTAAGAGGCCCTTTTGCGCTTCCGCTCGTTGCTGCGATTGCTGGGTGCGGTGACTGTGACGTTTGCCCTGACCTTGCACAGGGACACCGTGAATTAGAAGTGTGTCAACGTCAGGGAGAAGATGGAGAAAGGGGGCATACCCCTAGCGCAACCTGCCTGCCGTCGGTGCAAACGAGGCCCAGCGTACCACGACCACCGCCGTGAACAACGACAACATGGCACAAGGAAGCCTGATGAGGACAGGCTGAAAAAGCTGCGCAAACGAGAAGTGCAATCAAATCTCTGAGAGGGGCTCTAGGTCTCACTTCAGCAGGGGACAACCCGAAACTGTTCCGCTCCACGAAAAGGTAAACCTCGCCTGAAGTCGCTGTGCGGAGGGGGAAGCCTGCCTCGGCTCCTAGTCTTTGTGCTGTTTTCTCCCCTAACGCTAGCGACTGTGTACTTGGGTACCGCACCGGCCTGCACGTTTTTGCTTGACTTCGCTTTGGTAGTCTCTCTTTCCAACTTCGTGTAACACCTGGCAGGGGGCAACCCCATTCCTTCCATTTTTTCCGCTTTCAATGACGGGCCGCTGGAGCCTCCATATTCCTCGAAACCTCGCCCCCTCTCTGGGGCTGCGCACATGTACATTCTCTCTCATACTGTACCATATTGATTCCAGGGCCGGTGCCTCAGACTTCCACGATGCGTACGTTTCTGCCTTGGTTATCTCTTTCTTATATGGTGTACTTAAGTTGGCTCGCTGTTTCGTTCTGGTTTGTGAAGTTCGAAAGGCAGGGACCGTACCCTCGTTGGAGTTTGCCGATTTAATATGTCACTCGGCAGCAGTCGGGGGCGCAAATGCGCGCGGGCAAGGGGTTTCCCCCTTGTCCTTAGCCATGGCGAAAGAAAGAGAGAGACAGAGCCCGGAAGACACAACAGTTGCGGGTCCAATGTGCACGGCGGGGTGAGCCCCTTTGACCCACGGAAAGAAGGAGGAAGAGACCGGAGGAGTGAGAGAGAGAGATAAATAGAGTGCGACAGACCAATACCTGATCCGGCGAAACTGCCGTGGTGCCTGCCCCCATGACATATTGGGGACTCCTGGAGGGCGGGGGTGCAGGTTCTTGCTACACCTCGTACCCTTGCGAAACAAGAAGAGCGACGGAGAGAGTGAGAGAGAGGGAGAGAGAGCCAACTCCTGGGTGGGGGTCGCACCCTCTCGTCTTACTTTTGCGAACGAAAGAGCCAACTCCCCACACCCCAGCAAACAAAGCAAAACAAAGCGAGAGAAAGAAAGAGAACCGACCTGGCTCCGGGGGACTCGCAGCCGTAATTTCACGCCATCCGACAGAGCCAAGAAGCATGCGTGGGCCTTCGGTGCGGGAGGCTTTGGACGCCTCCCATGCCCGGGAGACAGGGTAAAAGTCCGCAGAAAGCCGGTGGGCTTGGTGCCCGGGGGCTTGATTCGCCCCTGAAGCCGAGAAGAAGAAGAGAGTGTGGAGGAAGAAGAGATAGAGAGATAGAGATGGCCTGAGGGTCCACCGTGGACCCTACGCCCGGCAGAAAGAAAGAAGAGAGAGAGAGAGAGATCGGTGAGGTGCTGCTTGTCTCGGGGAACTTCCTGCAATCTGAACGAGCCTCGAGCCTCCTGCCTCCTTTTCTCCGATTCGACCGAACTCGAACGGTGGCGTAGCGCTTCTGCGCAGAGGTGCAAGGTCTCTGCCCTGTGTCCCCACACGACTTGCAAGCAAGCAAGCAAGAGATCGGAAGGAAGAGAACGGAGGGAGCGAGAAAAAGATGGACATACAAACTCTTGCTGGAGGACGGTCAGTGTTGGTTGCCAAGCATGTTGCGGAAATGCCGCGGCAAATTTGAGGATCACGCCGCTGTCAAATGACAACGGCCAGTAGACGTGCAAGTCATCCTGCTGCGTCACAAAATTATGAACATCCATGCTGATTGAGCCGGCAACTGCTTAATCAGTGGTTTCGGCGCGCTTCGAACATGCTTTGCCTGTTTGGTGGTAGAAACCAGAAACTGGGCCGGGCAGGGGCTGAGCGACACACACGTCCACATGAGCGATTCCTGTCAGACCTGCGAGCGATATGAAGAGTTTCCACCTGGACATGTTTTTGATTCTGCCTCGGTGCAACCGACACGCTTGAAATACGGATCTCACATGCCCTTCAAGCTGAGCTGTCTCTGAGCTGATTGTGGGCATCGGTACACTGATTTGACAATACATGCTCTTGAAGGGCAACCCCTCTGGCCTTTCGATATTCAGACATTGCAATGGTGGTGCCTTGCCAGGGGCAGAGGCGGTTGTTCTACACACCGATATGGCATTCACCCACGCCTGTCCCGACGGAGGACTTGCTGTGTGCTTTGCCAAAATTAAAGAGAACCGAGTTTCGATGTTCGTTGCCATAAGCAGGAGATGGCGCTTTCAGTTCTCCGGGAAGCGTTTGAGAATGCGGTCATCTCGCACATGATGGTCCGCCGGCACATGTACTTCCTCTCCTGCCAGAAACCTGCCTATTTGGCTATCGTTGTGCTGTGCATGCTGTGCTTGCCAGTCCGATGTGCCCTATGGGGTGCTGCTGAGCGGTGGGCTGGACTCCTCGCTGGTTGCCTCCATCATGTCGAAGAACAGCCGCAGGTTGATTTCCGAACTGTGCACGAAAGCACGATTAGTTCCTTCACATGGAACATGGAGGAAGTGCGAACATGGACCGGCGTCCTGGCCACAGTTGCACTCATTCAGCACTGGGCTGAAAGGCAGTCGGAGCCTCAGAAATACCCGTCTGCCTTCGAGTCGACTGCCGCTGCCGCCGCCAGGCCCAGACCTGAAAGCTGCAAAGGAGGCAGTGGGGGCCCGCCGGGAACGTCGTTGGATGAGTGGCTTTGGATAGCTCTGCCTATAGTGTGAGGTGGAGTGAAACATGATTCTGAATGAGGTTAAGTGAAAGTGATGAAAGTTCACAGCGCGCAGGTTGCTTCCTTCCTCGGGACGGTGCATCACGAGTACGTCTTCACAGTCGAGGAAGCCCTGGATGCACTGCCGGATGTACGCAGCTTATGACGGACTCCTTATGAGACCTGCACTTCGCAGTTTCTCACTTCAGGTGATTTACCATTTGGAGACCTTCGACGTCACCACTGTGCGTGCATCCACACCAATGTACCTCATGGCTCGCAGGATCAGGAGTGGCACTTTGGTCCGCCGCAGCTGTGCTGCTGATTATCCTGTTTGCTTTGTTAAGACTTCTCAGATGGTTGCAATATCTTAGCTGCCGTCAGCTGAGTGCAGGGCTTCGGGCGTGAAAATGG